CCATCAGTCCTGGAATCCTTGCACTGGTGGGAGTCCATATGCAATGTGTGCCAAGGGATCCCCTTCACTAGGCTTTCTTTAACCAAGTCAGTAGTTACTGACATGTCCCTTCTGGATTAGGGAGCGCATCTGAACTCTTTGAGGGTGCAGGGCCTATGGTTGGAACAGGAAACCTTGCTCCACATCAGCGTGCTGGAGCTTAGGGTCATCCACAAGGCACATTATGCCTTCCGGGACTGCAGCAGGCATTCAGTGGTTCACATACTCACCGACAATACCACCACAGTGTACTATGTGAACAAACAAAGGAGAACCCACTCCAGATCACTCTGCCTATAGGCAATCAACCTGTGCAGTTCTGCATCAAAGAGGACATCACCCTGACAGCTGTCCACTTACCAGGAGCCCAGAATCATGTCAGCAGGCTTTTCTCCCCGAGCCACAAATGGTCCCTGAAGTTAGAGACCCCACATTGTGAAAACCATCCAAAGGACAGCGCCAATCAACCTCTTTGTGATGAGGGAAAATAGTAAGTGTCGTCTATTCTGCTCTCGGGAAGGGCTCAGCTCAGGCTCCCTCTGTGATGCTTTCCTCTGCAGCTGGCGGTCAACTCTGCTGTATGCATTCCCTCCTATCCTGATCACTCCGTAGGTCATCGCTAAGCTCAAGGCAGATCGAACCAGGCTCATCCCGATTGCCCCATCATGGCCAAAGCAGTGCTGGTTCTCGGACTTCCTCGCCCTGTCAGTTCAGCCTCCCATACCACTTCTCCTTCCTGACCTCACACAGGACTGTGGATGCACTTTGCTTCTGGCGATCAGTTCCTTGCACCTTATGGAGTGGCTGCTGCATGACTGAAAGAGGAGGGAGAGCACTGCTCGAGGTTGTCCAATAGGTCCTATTTAACAGTAGGAAGCCTTCAACTAGAACAGCCTACTTGGCAAAGTTGAAGTTTTCAGTATAGTCCTTGACCCGTGGGACCCATTCAGTGGAGACTTCTATCCAGGACATCTTGAATTACCTGCTACACCTTCAGGAATTTGACTTAGCACTCAGTTCTCTCAGAGTACACTTGGCAGCAATATTGGCATTTCATCCACCTATCCAAGGGAAATTGGCATTCTCCAGTGCAATGGTGATGAGATTTCTGAAAGGACTTCTCTCCCTGCATCCTCCAGTCCAAGAGCCAGTCCACTTGTGGGTCCCGAACATGGTCTTAGCAGCTCTAATGGGGACTCCATTCGAGCCCCTTGCTTCCTGACCACTACCCCTCCTGTCTCAGAAAACTGCATTCTTGATAGCTATTACCTGTGCCAGGTGGGGGTGAGAGTAACAGGCCCTGATGGCTGGGCCTCCTTACAGTTCTCCAAGGACAAGGTTACGTTCCGGCCACATCTGAAGCTTGTATCCAAGGTGGTCTCTCAGTTTAATTTGAATCAAGCTGTGTACTTGCCTGTATTTCCCTGAGCCACATTCCTCCATGGAGGAACAACGCCTCCATACATTAGATGATAGACCAATGGTTCTCAATGGTCCCAATGGTTCTATTTACCATTGTGGTACACATCCAATACTACCTATAGGGCCCTGAAGACGTCACATGGGCCGCAGCTCTGTGCTGATTGCGCCACAGGTTGAGAACCACTGGTCTAGCCTTTTTTTGAACAGGACTGAACAGTTTTATCATAGAATATAAGGGTTGGAAGGGACCCCAGAAGGTCATCTAGTCCAACCCCCTGCTCAAAGCAGGACCAATTCCCAGTTAAATCATCCCAGCCAGGGCTTTGTCAAGCCTGACCTTAAAAACCTCTAAGGAAGGAGATTCTACCACCTCCCTAGGTAACGCATTCCAGTGTTTCACCACCCTCTTAATGAAAAAGTTTTTCCTAATATCCAATCTAAACCTCCCCCACTGCAGCTTGAGACCATTACTCCTCGTTCTGTCATCTGATACCATTGAGAACAGTCTAGAGCCATCCTCTTTGGAACCCCCTTTCAGGTAGTTGAAAGCAGCTATCAAATCCCCCCTCATTCTTCTCTTCTGCAGGCTAAACAATCCCAGCTCCCTCAGCCTCTCCTCATAACTCATGTGTTCCAGCCCCCTAATCATTTTTGTTGCCCTTCGCTGGACTCTCTCCAATTTATCCACATCCTTCTTGAAGTGTGGGGCCCAAAACTGGACACAGTACTCCAGATGAGGCCTCACCAATGTCGAATAGAGGGGAACGATCACGTCCCTCGATCTGCTCGCTATGCCCCTACTTATACATCCCAAAATGCCATTGGCCTTCTTGGCAACAAGGGCACACTGCTGACTCATATCCAGCTTCTCGTCCACTGTCACCCCTAGGTCCTTTTCCGCAGAACTGCTGCCTAGCCATTCGGTCCCTAGTCTGTAGCTGTGTATTGGGTTCTTCCGTCCTAAGTGCAGGACCCTGCACTTATCCTTATTGAACCTCATCAGATTTCTTTTGGCCCAATCCTCCAATTTGTCTAGGTCCTTCTGTATCCTATCCCTCCCCTCCAGCGTATCTACCACTCCTCCCAGTTTAGTATCATCCGCAAATTTGCTGAGAGTGCAATCCACACCATCCTCCAGATCATTTATGAAGATATTGAACAAAACCGGCCCCAGGACCGACCCTTGGGGCACTCCACTTGATACCGGCTGCCAACTAGACATGGAGCCATTGATAACTACCCGTTGAGCCCGACAATCTAGCCAACTTTCTATCCACCTTATAGTGCATTCATCCAGCCCATACTTCCTTAACTTGCTGACAAGAATACTGTGGGAGACCGTATCAAAAGCTTTGCTAAAGTCAAGAAACAATACATCCACTGCTTTCCCTTCATCCACAGAACCAGTAATCTCATCATAGAAGGCGATTAGATTAGTCAGGCATGACCTTCCCTTGGTGAATCCATGCTGGCTGTTCCTGATCACTTTCCTCTCATGCAAGTGCTTCAGGATTGATTCTTTGAGGACCTGCTCCATGATTTTTCCAGGGACTGAAGTGAGGCTGACTGGCCTGTAGTTCCCAGGATCCTCCTCCTTCCCTTTTTTAAAGATTGGCACTACATTAGCCTTTTTCCAGTCATCCGGGACTTCCCCGGTTCGCCACGAGTTTTCAAAGATAATGGCCAATGGCTCTGCAATCACAGCCGCCAGTTCCTTCAGCACTCTCGGATGCAACTCGTCCGGCCCCATGGACTTGTGCACGTCCAGCTTTTCTAAATAGTCCCTAACTATTTATGCTTCGTGTCACCTGTTCCTATCATATGCAGACCCTCATGAAGGGTCAAGCAGTCTCTGTGCAGACCATCTCTAGATGGATAACATCTTGTATCAAGACTACATATGAGATAGTGTCGGCTACACCGCCTCAGCAGATATGGGCATATTCAATGAGAGTGCAGGCAATGCTGGTGACCTTCCTCAATGACATTTCCATATTGGACATTTGTAGGGTGGCCACATAGTTATCCATACATACATTTACGGACCATTATGTGATCACTGCTGCTTCCAGAGTAGACGCTAATGTCGGAAGAGCAGTCCTTACTCAGGTAACCTCCGAAATCCGCCTACAGATGGAGGTACTGCTTGCTAGTCACCTACTTGGAATGCACATCTGCATCTACTCAAAGAAAAAGAAACTGCTGCTTACTGTACCTGTGGTTCTTTGAGATGTGATGCAGACATGTATTCCATGACCCACCCTCCATCCCCTCTGCGTCAGTCTTCCCCTGGACATTTGGTGCAATGGAACTGAGGGGGTCTGGCAGCATTGCCTCATAGCCAGGGGAGGGGCTAAAGGTAGGAGATGCAAGCACCACCCCTCTACAGGTACTGCTAGGCAAAAGTTTCCAGTGAGCAGGGCGCATGCTCACCTATTTGGAATACACATCTGCATCGCATCTCGAAGAACCATACTTACAGTAGGTAACTGATCCCAGTCTTTTACACCATGCCCATCACCACAGTATCTGATGGAAAAAGGAGGATAGAGATTGAGATGTGATAGATATGTACGCACCATTAGATGGAGAGAAAAAAGGTAGTGTGAGGAACTCGGGACAGTGTGAGAAAATAAAAGTACAGAAAAGTCAAAACCAAAAACCCAGAAGGAGGACAAGAATAAATGCAAGAAATAAGTTGAACTTGAAATGGGGTAATAAATTCCCCCCCCCCCCCAAAAAAAAAAAAAAAAGATTCCTAGGTCTGTGTTGTGTCAGGAAAATTACCATAAGAGATTGTGGGGGCAGGAGGGATGACTCTGAAATAGAGGGCTAAATATTTTTCTTCACTTCTTTCCCTTTACTGTCATGTATTCCAGTTTTTCATTTTGAAAATAAGGCAGGACTTAACAAACTGGTGAAATGAGGAGAAAAGAATTAGATATGTACATGACAAATAGTCTCTTTCCAAACTGTGATCATTGTGGGTATTAGGACATCCACTGTTATGCCAGATGTTGCTTTTTCTTACCACCTACTTTGCCTCATTACCCTGAGGAGAGCATTCAGTGTTTTTCTAATGGTCTCAGGATATGTCCCACTTGTGTCTTCTAACTCAGCAGTATTATATGGATATTTAAATTGCATCCGAAATTTTGGCCATTTTCTTAGATCAGACTTCCTTCCAAGGCTGCTTATCTCTTTGTCAAGGAGATTGGCTTACTTGCCATAGACTGGTAGCAGTTGACTACAAAAAACAACTAACTGTAACCCTTTTCATCAACACCTACTTACCTTCCTACTACCTCGGCCTCTTATGTTCCGGGTCCAGTATTTGAAATATTACACTGCTGGAATAGGGAAGTTTGAGGTTATGTGTCTACATGATTGACAGCACTTTATTTTGTTTCTGATGTCTGAAGCCAAATTCTCAATGGTGTTAACTTGCCTGATGTGGTTAGGGTGAAGTACTAGAAAAAAGTAAATAGTTGATTCTTGCCTAAAAACATGTATGCTATTAATGTGTTTTTGTTGTATAGAGCCAAACTTGGAATGCCCCAGTTTTTAAGTCCTGAAGCACAGAGTCTTCTCCGAATGCTTTTCAAACGAAACCCTGCAAACAGATTAGGTAAAATACTCATATAAAAATAATTATTTCAGCTAGTAGTTCTTCGCAGTAAATAAACTACTATTCACAGCCTTTTTTCATAATAGGGGCAGGTCCAGATGGAGTTGAAGAAATTAAGAGGCATTTATTTTTCTCCACAATAGACTGGAATGTGAGTACTTTGGTAAAAGAACGTCTTTTAGGAAATGTTTGTTGACGGTTGTTATAATTATTTTTAATTTGGTTTCACTGCTGTCTTCTCTTTAGAAATTATACAGAAGAGAAATTCATCCACCTTTTAAACCTGCAACTGGCAGGCCTGAGGATACATTTTATTTTGATCCTGAATTTACAGCAAAAACACCGAAAGGTGAGAGAATAATTAACTGTAATTTAAGTATTCAAAAGTAGAAGAAACTTTGTCATTTTAATTTTCAGAAATTGTTTTCTATCTGGTTAGATTTGACTGAGTACATGTACAAAACCTAAAACTTCATTATATGAAAGATTTTATATAAGCCTGTATGTATATATGAACTGCAGTTCGTTACTTGTGCATTTGTATCATGAGGATGCAAAAATACTTTATGTAAATAACAATCTCCAAACCGGTTTATAGTGTAAAATTCCTTTCCAGTGTTGAAACTATGATTTTATGCTCATTTTTATTCAGTGCATATTAGGAATACTGATTACTTACTGCTTTTGGATTTTTTTAAATAAATTGGAAAGAAGTCTTCCTGAAGACATTTGTTCTGTTTTTCAGATTCACCTGGTATTCCACCTAGTGCTAATGCACATCAGCTTTTTCGGGGATTCAGTTTCGTTGCTATTGCATCAGATGATGAAAGCCAGGCAATGCAGACAGTTGGGGTTCATTCAATTGTTCAGGTGAGTGCAATTGCTGAAGAATAAACATAACGAATGAAAACAAATTATTTAAAAATGAGTTGTCCTTTGCATAAAATATGATGTAGCTTTGTCACACCTTTCATAAACAAGATACCTAAAAACACTTAAAATAATTAATAGTACTGTAAGACTAGGGTTTATCCTCTGTTCTTCGTGAAGTGTCACGAAAACGTCGTCAACTAAAGACAAGAAAAATACACCTCAGATTATTTTATCCAAAGAACAGCACCTTTGACAATGCAGAACCTACTGCTTCTGTACATTGGGTGTGATCAGGCATGGGTTTTGACCCCCTAAAAAGCAAGCATTTTAGCATCTGAGCCATAATGACTGTTCAAATATCTGAATAATCCAGGCTTAACATTTTGAAAACATTTTACATTTTCTTTATAAAGTCAATATTTAAAAAAAAAAAAAAGTTGCCCGTGGATCATTTTCCCCTTTGTTATAGGATAAATGTTGGGTTCATACTATGCAGCAAAACCCCTCTAAAATATGACTTGAAACTGGAATGTAGAGATGGTTTGGATTGCCATTTATTTTAAATCCTGTAGATTATATCCTGCCCTTCCTCCCTATACACACACTTTAAAAAAAAAAATTATAAAGAATTATGCCAGTCTAAAATACTACTTGAACACTTTACATGTTGTCTGATAACTAACCCAATGTGTCAGGGTGCATTGGAACTTTTGGTTTCCTAGTAGAATTGGGAGAACCGATTAAACACAGACTCTCTCACATTAATGATTGTGCCATTATTACTTCTGAAAGTAGTTCACTTGGCCTGTTAGCTGAAAAATGCTTACTGTTTCTATATGCTCTGTTGTTGCTACGGCATATTTTTGAACAATGAAACTCTGGTCAGACACATCATTCCATGATCTGGGGAAGGATGACATCAAGCTGGAGTTAGGGGAGAAGTATGCATCATGCTCTTTTTTTTAAATTTAGATTTGATAAGGTTAGCATGGGAATGTATTTCATTGTTGGAGAGTGTGTGGAAGAAGGAGGGATATGAAGTCCTGTGGCCAATAGTTATGGGGCCAACAGCATGGAGAAATAGCAGATGTGTTTTTAGGGAAAGAAGACTAAGTGGGTATAAAAGAAAGTAACAGGCCCAAGTAGGATTTTTAAGTAAAAATTTTATTTCTACCACCTACTTCTGTTAATTTTTTCTTCACATACATTCGGAAAGCATATTTAATTGCTGAAAACTTTTCACTTGTTTGTACAGAAAGTTAACAAATACTTCTGATAAAAAATGATATCCTGTATGCTGGTTGCATAGACAATTTGCAACCATCTGAGTGTGTTTAATTCTTCAAAGTGATTGACCAAAATGCGAACCACTTCTTGTGTTCTCTAATTACATCCTTTTTACTACATCGAGAATGCTCATAATAAGTTTATTTGCACACACTATATGCTTCAGGTGTTCAGTGGTGAGGATTTGTGGATATTCATGTACTCATTGAATCATATTCATAGATTTGCTGGGCCAGATCATCTAGTCTGACCTCTATGGTTATAGAATTTTCCCAAATAATTCCTAGTGCATACCTTTTTGAAAAACATCCAATCTTGATTTAAAAGTTGTCAGTGATGGAGAATCCACCTGACTGTTGGTAAATTGTTCCACTTTAGACAATGGTTTGTTTAAAACATGAATTTTAAACTGAGTGTCCCTTTAATTTATCTGTCTCAAGTGATTTGGATACAAGTATGAATATCACCCCATAAAATATAGCTACATTTGGTATTTGTGGTTGGCTCATACATGTACAATGACTTGTTTTTCATAAACCATCATTTCCTCAATTTGCTTCAGAAAAAACTTGTGGAATTTGCCCACATAAAGGGTGTACAGTGTCAAGAAACATAAATTGAAGAGAGTGGGATATGGATTGGAAGAGATTGTCTTCAAAGGGAAACTAAAGAGGGTTGAGGGGAGGAAAGAGAAGAAAACACTGATTATTTTCAGTAGCTGCAAATGTAATTTGTAAAGTTTAAAATCACTTTTAATTGGGATAAATTCAGAGGGGGCTGAGCAAATAGGAGCAGGCACTATACAAATTGGCATTGGCTAGCTCCTGTGTATCCTCAACTGCCATTGACTTTAGATGTGTTGAACCACTTGCCAAATCCATTTTAGTCTGTTGGCTTTCAGAAAGTTCTGCCCAGCTATGTGTCTGGCAAAGCCAGCTTCACAGAAAACTTTACTTTGAAAGTCCACCTTAAAACAAGTTTGCTCTCTTGGTGGGGTGGGGAGTATAACAGAGTTGGGGCCATGTATTCTCTTGGAGTTTTTGCTGCTTATTGCCCTTCAGTCCTGAATCTCTGCCAACAGTTTTTCTGCAACTTCTGCTGTGCTGTTTTCTTTGCACAAACTTGCAGATGGAGTTCTCTGTACCGCTTCCTCCTCTTGTAAATATTTCTCAAAACTTCTCTGCTCCCTTTCCTCCGTACCCCTTCAACCACTTCCTCATTCTTATTTCCCCTTTGCATGTCTGCAGGATACCCAGATGGCTTCCTGCTAAAGTTAGGCATCCTTTGTACAAGCTCCCCTACTGCTTCCCTGTATCAAAATACCATTTCCTTACCATGCAAAAAAGGCTGACAGTCACTCATTCTGCCTTTTATCCCCAGACTCAGATGACACTTCTACTTCCATTCCTACTGATGCCTGCAATTCCCAGTGAATTTGATCTGTCTCTAAATTTCTCATACTAAGACCTGCACTTGCAAAAAAAAAAAAAAAAAAATTACCTTATTTTACCGTTCATATTTTGGCAGATGAGACCAGAAAAAATGGTATTTCTTAAGATTAATGGGAAGTCTTCTGATCTGTTTTCTGTTTCATATTATTTGTTTAAATTAACAGAGCAGGAATCCCAAATGTAGACTTGTCATAGAATTTCTATGATATGCTATAAATGGATGGGATTTATATGATTTATAATATATCTTACTCAAACAGAAGGATTTTGAAAAGATTTTGACCTAAAAAGATTATTAATTTAAACTATAGGGAACAAATATTTCCAATTGATTTGTAATGTAGATGATGATGATGTATATTTTTAAAGTAATCGTCAATTAATAATATTATTTTGGTAGCAGTTGCACAGGAACAGCATTCAGTTTACTGATGGATATGAAGTAAAAGAAGACATTGGAGTTGGTTCTTATTCTATCTGCAAGAGATGTATACATAAAGCTACCAATATGGAATATGCAGTTAAGGTAACCACTGTTAAAAAAACTCTTAATTGCTAACAATCATATTTTCAGAATTTACAGTCATATAGGTCAATGTTAGCTTAAATTTATCTACCATAAACAAAATAGCAAATTGTTTTTTTCTTAAATGAATAGAAAAAATTGTGACTGCAAATGTCACGTATTCATTAAATTTCATGTTTTGTTGCTATTTTATTTTTTTTAAATGTTCCCCATGAAACGCTTATCTAACTCACTTACATGCATGCTTCTGAGAGAGAATATACACCAAAGAGACTGCATTGCTAAGCATTATTACGAAGTATATTATTACTAAGCATTATATACAGAAATGACAATGATTAGATTAACTTAAATATAATTGTTTCTTTTAATTCTGAAGTAGATATATAGATGATCACATAAATCCCTGTTCCTAGCTGTGCTGTTTGTGTAGTTTAGTACACATTGGCATTTTTTTTTTCCAGAGGGAACCTCGATTCTGCATTTCCTTGCTTTTTTGTTGGTTTAAATCATTAATATTTTAACAAGGTTTTTAATATGTTAAAAAGCAATAAGCGATGCCAAGTGAATCAAATCTAGCTTTCAAAAATGTTACAATATTGAATAAAAGGCAATAAAATTTGTCTTACCAATGGGGATATCTGTGTAACTGTCAAAGCAGGAACAGTGTGGCGAACTTTTTTAAAATCTTAGTTATATTTTGAAGCAATTTACCTTTTAGAATTATAGAACCATTCAGACATATGGACAGAATTGTTCAGTTTGGTTTCACACTCGTATGGTGTGATATACAGGCTACTCACAAAGAACCCTTGAATTCCAACAGAGGTATTTGTTTACATGCCATCAGTCTGGTTTTCGTCATAAACTGGATACATTTTCTGTAAAATAAGATGTAAGATGCATTTTGGGGGGAAGTAGGTAAACAAATTATCTTTCATAATTTGAATGCATTGAATCTGGAATAAATGATTACCAAGTTGAATGTTTCACTTTCTAAATTAGAGTTCAACATTTAAGTAAAATTTGGAGAAAAAATTATTTTTCTGTGGTTTTTATTCCAGTAAAAACAGCTACTATATATCCTGCACATTATTTAAAAAAGTATAATTTAACAGTTCGTACGTTTGCCAACGCACTCCTTGCATGTAAAGGCCCCAGTGCAGCATTTCTGCTGCAACAGCATTGTGATGTGCACCCTTTGACACATCCACAGGTAGCAATTTCTGCACAGCTGTCGGGGATTGGCTCCAGTGACGTTAGCTTGGGTACCAGTTCTCCATTGTGTTTGGTCCAACCCATATTTTCTGGTGAGAGTAGTGTGAGATTGTTGCAGTTTGCCTGCCTCCACTTGAAAGTGAGCTCTTTGGATGTTGCAGCACAATGCATCGCTTGTTAGGGTCCATGCCTCCAGTGATCAACACTTGGAGAACAATATCACTGTGCCTTGTTGCAGCTCTGCTCATCAGGTAAATTGTACATGTTGCAGATCAATTTTTCTGCTGAAATGATTGATTCATTTTGGGGATCATCCTTCTCTCAGTTTATTTGAAGTCCGTGTTTCTCCATGGATACTGTCTAAGCAGTTTTCTTGCTGTGGCCAGCAATATGGGAAAGAGTATCACAGCCTGTCAGAGCATGGAAGGAGAATATTGTGTCTATATCTGTGTGAGGAAACACAGGCAAAAGCTTCTCTTAAATAGTATGCACAGGAATGTATTTGAATTTTTTTGATATTCCACCTTCATCCACAGCTTGCTGCAAGGCATTTTGTCATCGTGTGCCACTAACAGAAAAAGAACATCATTGTCTTGTGTTGATGTGCGACACACTTGTATTCAAAATTGGGTTTGATGACTTAACTATACTGTTGTCTCTGCACTCTCCAGATGTGACAATTGTTTTGATTTGCAGAGCATGGGCTAGGAGTTCTTCAGAGAACAAGCAAGCCAGATCAGCCTTACTTTGGGAATGGGCCAAAAAGTCTGGCCAGCTGTTGGGAATTAGAACAGATCTGTTCTCCAATTAACTTTTTTCCAATTAACTTAGAAGCTTTAGAGCACTTCTGTCATATCATTCCTTTAATAGAAAGGTTGAACATGGAAGAGATTTTCTCTGTGCCATTACATATGCTTGGCCATCAATCACCAGAGAGGATGTACTATCAAGTGTTATCTCAGGAGGACAAGGGATGTCTCTGGTTAAAATGAGTAACATAACAGACTTATTTCCAATTTTAAGATGCCCATTTACCTCAGCAAGATAAAGAGGAATTGACATTAGTTCATGACATAATATTTTATGCAGATCCACCATCCTTCCTCCATTATAGGCATTAATTACGCACTGTAGTATGAGACTGTCAACTTGTATTGTGACTACCTTGTCTTTGTTTTTGTTTTTCCAACTGCATGGAGGGAGGAAAACATCAGAGCCCTTGTCTTTCTCAGTGGGTCACGGAATTTGGTATGGGGACTTAGTTTCTCTGGTGTCATGAGCCTTTTCTGAACAAAGTTATTCAGTTGCTCCTAGCCAAATGTTTCCGCATTCAGCAAAATTCTCTGAATCGCTTCTGTGGCCAAATCTTTTGTTGCAATGTTTTGCAGTGTGTTGGTAGTGAATAATTTTAATCTTTGAAGTGTCATTAATACTTTATTTTCATAATCATAATCATGTTGCTTTTGTGCTGGTGTGGATTCATTGTAACTCATTTGGACATCAAGCCCAAGACTGAGCGGTTTTCTGGTTTGGGCTGCAGTTCGGGCATGTAGATTATGTGAGAGAGCCCATCTGCTGAGTGCTGAGGCCATTCCTGTGATTCCTCTAATTCCTCCTTTCTTTCAAGTGGCATTGAGCCACGCTTGGGAATGGTCTGGGTCTTCCTGATTTGAATCTGTGGTTGGAACCTTTCACAACCCAGTTGCCTCTGTAGAACTCTTTAAGTACTTCCAGAGGGGGCTGGTTCATTTCTGCTAAGTACACAGATCCCCATCAAGCATAATTTGTGTGTTCATATTGGTGAAAGAACAGAAGCATTCTTTTGAAGGCATACAGATGAAGCTCCTAAATTCCATCTCATTGAGCTCTGGGGAAGAGGAGGAGGATACACACATACTAGCACCAGTACTACAAATTGAGATGGTTGTCCATGTTGCTCAGCACAAATGATGGCATCTTGTCACAGAAAGTTGCAAATGACAGAATAGACACTAGGTTATTGTAATCTTCTTCCGCCTCAGATTTTGCAACATCCAGGAGTTTCTCTTTGAGTTTTTGTTGTGTTGCTATAGATAGGTCAGAAGTTGTGGTAATAAGAGTTGCCACAAGCAACTCTTACAACTCTGACAAGCATGAGTGGCTTTTGCATAATTTTTATCAGAAATTACATGCTGTTATCATTTTATCTACCTGAAATGCCATTTTCAGTCTACATGCTCAACAGTCCAGAATCATGTGTATTCTGCCCGAACATTTTTAGGAAATTCACTGATGTATGTAGACCTCCTAAGCATGTAATCTGGATATCTTTACATTCTGGTACAGTCCATTTTAGGTCCATCAGAACAGGGAAGAGTGCTTGATCAACATGTTTCTGTTGAAGATAATTAGGGCTGTTGATTAATCACAATTAACTCACGCAATTAACTAAAAAAAATTAATCAATTAAATTAATTGTGATTAATCGCACTGTTAATAGAATACTAACTGAAATTTATTAAATATTTTGGATGTTTTTCTACATTTTTAAATGTATCTATTTCAGTTACAACACAATACAAAGTGTACAGTGCTCACATATTTTTTATTACAAATATTTGCACTGTAAAAATGATAAAAGGAATAGTATTTTTCAGTTCACTTCATACAAGTATTGTAGTGCAATCTCTTTATCATGAAAGTGCAACTTACAAATGTAGGTTTTTTATTGCATAACTGCACTCAAAAACAAAACAATGTAAAACTTTAGAGCATACAAGTCCACTCACTCCTACTTCTTGTTCAGCCATTTGCTAAAAGAAGTAAGTTTGTTTACCTTTACGGGAGATAATGCTGCCCACTTCTTAGTTACAGTGTCACCTGAAAGTGAGAACAGGCATTCACATGACACTGTTGAAGCTGGCGTTGCAAGATATTTATGTGCCAGATGCGCTTAAGATTCATATGCCTCTTCATGCTTCGGCCATTGTTCCAGAGGACATGCTTCCATGCCAATTACGCTTGTTAAAAAAATGTGTTAATTAAATTTGTGACTGAACTCCTTGGGGGAAAATTGTATGTCTCCTGCTCTGTGTTTTACCTGCATTCTGCCATATATTTCATGTTATAGCAGTGTCGGATGATGACCCAGCACATGTTGTTTGTTTTAAGAACACTTTCACTGCAGATTTGACAAAATGCAAAGAAGATACCAATGTGAAATTTCTAAAGATAGCTACAGCGCTCGACCTAAGGTTTAAGAATCTGAATTGCCAAGTTCCAAAATCTGAGAGGGATGAGGTGTGGCACATGCTTTCAGAAGTCTTAAAAGAGCTACACTCTGATGCAGAAACTCAGAACCCAAACCACCAAAAAAGAAAATCAGCCTTCTGCTGGTGGCATCTCACTCATGATGATGAAAATGAACATGGATCAGTCTACGCTGTTTTGGATGGTTATCAAGTAGAACCCGTCATTAACATGGACGCATGTCTCCTGGAATGGTGGTTGAAACCTGAAGGGACATATGACTCTTTAGTGCATCTGGCATGTAAATATCTTGCGACACTAGCTACAACAGTGCCATGCAAACGCCTATTCTTGCTTTCAGGTGACGTAAACAAGAAGCAGGCAGCATTATCTTCTGCAAATGTAAACAAACTTGTTTGTCTGAGCAATTGGCTGAACAAGAAGTAGGACCGACTAGACTTGTAGGCTCTAAAGTTTTACAATGTTTTATTTTTGAATGCAGGTTTTTTTGTACATAATTCTACATTTGTAAGTTCAGCTTTCATGATAGAGATTTCACTACAGCATTTTTATTAGGTGAATTGAAAAATACTATTTTTTGTTTTTCCAGTGAAAATATTTATAATCAAATAAAGTGAGTACTATACACTTTGTATTCTGTGTTGTAATTGAAATCAATATATTTAAAATGTCCAAAAATATTTAAATAAATGGCATTCTATTATTGTGCAACAGTGCGATCAATCGTGATTAATTTTTTAATCGCTTGACAGCCCTAAAAATAACATGGGACTTGTGCAAATCTTTTTACCACCAGTATTCAGTGTATCAGCTTCATGAGCGGGGGACCAAATGATAGGCATGTAACTGTATTCAGTTAATGGTGACAGCGGCAAAGAGTCCTGTGGCACCTTATAGACTAACAGACTTATTGAAGCATAAGCCAATAGGTTAATGGTGAGTTATTGTTACTGTGCTTTTCATTAAAACTTGGCCAGTCAGATTTAGCATTTTCAAATTGATGTTTGCGGGAAAGTGCCATATCCTGTGCTAGTGTTTTCAAATCTGAATGGCAATCATTAAACCATCTCCTAGGACATCTTCATTGAATTTTGGTTCTGCTGTACCTTCTGTGATATTAGTAGGAAAGATATTAAATATCTCTCCTGTACTTTATTTTTTGAGTAAGTGACAGTAGCCGTGTTCTTTTTTGTATTTACTTATCTTAAAGTACAAAATTCAGCTTGGTAAACATCATTTTCAGATTCAGCACATTCAAACTATGAAAGAAAACATTTACCAACTTTTCCCAGAAATGCTTTTTTCTTTCATTAATAGCAGCTTATCTGGGAATTTGGTCTGCTCTATCAGGAGTAGATCTGACTTTTTGTGCTTGGGTTACCCAGGTAGCTTCCTCTGTCCTGAATAGCTGGGACAGAGCGGTGTTTGCACTACTGTTCCTTCTCTAAGCCCTTTCGGACTGTTGTTCAGACTGCCTCATTTCCTTCTCTGTTGCTATTACTACCTGCTACCTCTGCTGGAGCTCCTCTTCTTCAAGAAGCAGAGAGAAAGCATGAGGAAGGAAGGCAGTGGAGTGTGCAGGGGGAAAGAAGGATTCAGATAGAAGCAATGGATTCAAAACCTCATGCAGGAAAGGGATAAGAGATAAAAAGAGTGAGGAGACCTCAGGGAAAACCTCACAACTCAGGTAGAAGGGAGGAAAGAAAGTAGTGCATCATGAGGAAGAGCAGGCTTATTTTCTTCAGTGGCAAATGGCAAAACTGAACCCACCAGACATTTTCAGTTATACCAAATGTGAGTTACCAAGTCATGAGACTTCCCCCCAAGAAGACAAAAGGTAGGGGAAAACAGTGCTTGTTAAAGGAGGGATGGTTGGTGTAGGGCAATGTCATAGTTTTTGATAGATTCAAATAAGCATCTAATGCTTACCTGAAAACCCCAAGGGGTTTCCCTTTTCTGGTTTCACATGTCTCTTATATCTCCTGCTGCACCCCGGGGCTAGATCTATAAAAGGGTTTAGGTGCCTAAGTTCAACATATAGGCATCACTGAGATCCTCAAAACTCCCACTCAGCTGCTGCCTAAGTCTGTAGACACTTAGAGTCCCTAGGTACCCAAATTTCCATTGTTAAAGCCCCCTAGGTATTTAAATAGCAGTGTAGATGGTGAGGAGCTGCTTAGGTGAATAGAGTACAGGCACACCAGAACGCGAGGGTATATACCCTACACAGCTCCCTACATGCCCCAGCAGTGCTTCCTATCTCTGTACTGGTTTTTTTAGCAGCATAGTGTCCCTCTGCCTTCCTTTGGCAGAGCTTTTCCCTGTTGCAGCAAAAGTCTCTGGCGATGGGAAGGCAGTAGGAGAAGGCTCTGGCAGCTCCCTGCTGCTGGAGCCTTTCCCCACTGAGCAAAAGGCTCTGGCAGCAGGAAGCTGCTAGAGTTTTCTCTGCCACCTCCCCACTGCCAGAGTCTCTTTGCTGCGGTGAAAGGTTCCAGCAGTGGGAAGCTGCCAGAACCTGTCCTTGCTGCAGCAAAAGGCTCTGGCAGCAGTGAGCCTGCTGCTTCCCCCTGTCAGAACCTTTCATTGTTGCATGTAGCTGCGCAATGCAATGTGGACACAGCCTGATTTTCACTATCATATGTAGCTTCACATACCTTACATGGTGCCACCACTGTAAACCAAGCCTATGTTTCTGCCAGGGTGCATGCACCTAAGCCCTAGTGTGATCCTCAAACTAGGTGCTGCCCTTCTTCCTAAATCCAGTAGGCATGCTCAGATCAGGTCTAAATGCACAAAAAACAGGTGGTGGTGGTTGTGGTGGTGCCCTCCTTATAACTTCTAGCCCAGTGGTTAGGATGGTACTCTGGAATGTGGGAGACATGGATACAAATCCTACCTCTGCCTTAGGTGAAGCAGGGATGTGAACATGGGTCTCTCCCCTTCCATGAGATTGCTCTAACCACTGAGCTATAGAACAACCACTTGCTCTCTGGCCCAGTGCATATTCAGTTATTTGTATACAGTGGAAACTTAAAGCTTCAATAGAAAGACCTGAGAGACACCCCCCACCAGCACATCCCAAAATTCCCTAGAGCCCAGTGGATAGAGTACTCCTCGTAGGAGGGGAAAACCCAAGTTCAGATCCCTTCTCTACTTCAGGCAGAGAAATTTAACCCGGGTCTCTCACACCCCAGGTGAATGCTTTAACCACAGGTCTAGAACTTATCAGGGGATATGTGGGGCAGTACTACCACCTCCTCTGGTGTTTTTTGCAAGGAACAACTTGGACACCTAACTAGGAGAAGGTACATGGCTCAGAATCCCACGAGCTGAGATAGGCACCTCCCTGTAGCCTGGAGGTAGCCTAACTCACTTTGAGGAGTGAGCTTAGGACCTATCCTTCTCCTCAGCATATTTATTGACTAACTTAGGTAGCTCCACACTCAACATCCTGGCTTATGTGGATCCCATTCTTAGGTGCCTGTCTCTCCTTGTGCATTGTATAGGGAGTGTAGGTAGCTAACTCAGGGCTGTGGATCCCACTGGGTGGCCTAAAAGTTAAGTCCCTTTTTAGATCTAGCCCCAGGTGCCTAGTTGGAGACAGCCAAACTAAAATGAGTCCAGCAATGTCATCCATCTAGGATTCAGTAACACATCCAAAGTCAGGGGCTTTATGCTTTATTAAGTGGATGGTTAAAGTATTATTTACTGCCATCTTCACATTAATAATTGTGACCTGAAGAACAGTATTGTTATCCACCAGCATCCCATCCACCTGAAGAATTTTCTACTTTCTTCCAAAAGATTATTTTTTCTTCCTCTCAAGGAACCAAATCTTGGTTGGTAGCCAGCATCCCTGTAAACATTGGTGAGGAGTGTTGTGTATTTGTACAAATGAAAATATCTGTCTATGTTCAGTGTTTAGAAAATATTTATTCTTACAAACTTGCTTGGTTTTCTAGATTATTGACAAGAGCAAAAGAGATCCAACAGAGGAAATTGAAATCCTACTGCGCTATGGACAGCATCCAAATATTATTACCCTTAAAGATGTAAGTAGACCCCAAAAGATTCATTCTTTGATAGGGTATTATAAAAGTGTTTTCACTCTTCATTTTGTATCTATGTCAAAGAACAACATGCATGTTTTAGATGTATCTAAAAACGTTCTTTTGTCCAATATAAAGAGTAAAATGGTACAATTTCAGATGTCTTAATATGCTTTTGCCAATATTTAATTTTAAACTAAAATAGGTAATTGTTAAAAATAGTCCTTTTTATTTGAGACACTCAACATAGTAGACAGTTTATTAATATACAATAAAATATTAATCACAATCTGATTGAAATTACTAATTAAAAGAAAAATGTCACTGTATTATGTAAAAAAGACAAGATGAAGGGAAGGGGTAGGAGGGAAAGTTAATAAATAAAGATCCAGTGGTCATTCAAAAACACTTCAGGAGTGAAGAAGTAATTAGGTGTTCTTCAAAGTGGGAAGAGATGAATTAATATGGATTTATGGGGAGGTATGTTCTATTCCATCTAGGTTCTTATACCATGGCTCATTTCCATAGCTGCACACCCATGGCCTAGTCCAACAGAGACATGACTGTCTGCCAACCTAAGACATGATGGTGAGATCCCTAGATGAGATTTGGTATTCAGTGTAAAGAATGTAGAGTGGGCGTAATATCTTCACAGTTCCTTAAACCAGTCAACAGATTTGCTGTTGTGGTCTGAACAAGCTGCAAGTGATAAAGAAACCTTGCTGTAAGCCCATTTAAGAGGGAACTACAATAAGAGAGCCATGTGGTGACAAGGAGATGTATACAGGAGAATGGTAATTGGGATAAAATGCAACATGGTTTTACAAAAGGTAGATCATGCCGGACCAACCTGATCTCCTTCTTTGAGAAGATAACTGATTTTTTAGATGAAAGAAATGTAGTAGATCTAATCTGCCTGGATTTCAGTAAGGCCTTTGTTCCAGTTCAGCACAGAGGAAAGTGGTTTTATTCAAGTACTTTCTGGGTCCACGAAAGAACGCGGGATGTAGACAGCTATTAGATCTCAGATGTCTGAACACTCTGTGAAACAGCAGAAATTCAGGATGGTGACCCTCACAGCTATAATGCCCTCTCTCATTTCTGCGGATCGGTTTGTGACTGTCAACTGTCGAGATGCCAACTTTCATGTTGCAGTTCAGAGGTTTCTTTATTTTTGTAGTCAGCCACGACCACTACTGATATCACATCCTCCCTTTGGGCTTCTCCTCTGCCCCAATGGTATTCTCAGAGATCGTGGTGGTTGTAGCTGCCCACCTTCATCATTTAGAGAAAATTGTCTTCCATTACCTCAACATTTGGTTGCTCAGGGGCCAGTCTTATCCAGAGCTATGGTCAGCAATAGAAAGAATAATCTTGTTATTCCACAGACTAGCCCTCCAACTAAATCTTGAGAAGTCTGCTTTGACACCAGTGCTGCGGATAGATTTCATAGCAGCTTCTCTGCATACAGTGACAGGCAGTGCTTACCTGTCTACCAACAGATTTCTCACCCAAAAGACACTGATCTCAGAGATTTCAGCTCAGCCCTGAAACCTCAGTAAGGAATGGTCTTCGGCTATTGGGGCATGTGTCAGCATGTGGTGTTGTAATTCAAAACACCAGGTTACATCTTCAATACCTTCAGTGATGACTCAGGATAGTCTATATATCAAACAAGCACAGTCTGAACAAACAAGTGTCTATCCAAGTGGGTTCTGCAGTCACTCAGCTGGTGAAAGGACCCTTTCAAAGACTCTGCAGGAGTCCAGTTTATTGAGAAGTCCCTTACCATCATGACAACATCAGATGCTTCCCCCTTCAGCTGGGGCCTCTCAGTTCAGGGCAAGTGGTCATCCCAAGAACAGTTTCTCAACGTCAACCTTCTAGAAATGAGAACAGCTAGCAATGCTTGCTTTCACTTCCTTTCTCTGACCAGATCCAGGTCAGTCAAGAGCTTGATAGACAATATAGCCTGCATGTTTTATATCCGTTGTCAGGGAGGAGCATGTTTTTCTTTACTCTGTGCCGAAATAATAAAACTCTGGAATTGGTGCATAGCCAGACAGGTAGTCTCTCTCAGCTTCTTACCTTCTAGTTGTTCAAGACACCATGGCCAATAACCTGTTCAGGCACTTCTCCCAAAATTACAAATGGGATCTAGACTCAGAAGCTTTCAACAACATATTCTTAACTTGAGGATTTCAGAGGTAGACCTTTTTGCAACTATCCATCAACAGAAAAGTGTAAGAAATTTTGCTCAAGCATGACCCTCAGTCACTGGGCATGCCTTCCTCCTCTTGTAGACAAGAGGCCTTCTTTATGCATATGCACCAACACCATTACTTTTGAAAGTACTGAACAAAATCAAGCAAGACAAGTTCCAGGGTCATTTTAATTGCACCAAGACTAGTTTGGTATCCTTACCTCATTCAAATTACTTCTCATCTACCAATGAGACTTCCAACCCATTGCTGTCTGTTGTCTCAGCATGCCGGTCAGATGCTTCACCCCAATCTGGAAATTCTGAGATTATAGGCATGGAACACCACTTGTGTACCCATCAGCAAGTCTTTCCCTTTCACTCTTCTCTTTCCACCATCCTTGACTACCTGTTGGAATTAAAGACATCAGCTCTAGCTAGGAGTTCTGTCAAGGTTAATTTGTCCACACAAGGTTTTCAGTGTTTGCTCAACCCACAGCCTCCAGTTTCTCAGAGGACTGATTAATATTTTTCCACAGACTAGAGAATCTACTCCAATAAGGGATTTGTACTTGGCTCTTAATTGCCTTACGAAACACCCCTTTGAGCCATTAGTTACATGTTCGTTGCTTCATTTGTCCATGAAGACAGCTTTCTTCGTGGCCATCACTTCCACCCACAGGGTTTGGAGAACTGGGGACTTTGATGGGAGACCCTCCTTCTGCCGTGTTTTTCAAGGAAAAGGTATTTTTCCGACCACATCCCAAGTTCCTCCCTCAGGTGTCTGAATTTCATATTAAGCAGACTGTTCATCTCCCATTTTCCCCCCCAGAAACGACATCAGACTAGACAAGAAGCTGCGTTTTGTACCCTGTATGTCAGAAGGGCATTAGCTTTCAAACTCGACAAAACCAAACTGTTCTGAAAGTCTTTTAGATTCTCTTCAGTTGAGGACAGGTACAAAGGATGTGCATTCTCCACCCAAAGAGACTCAAGATGGATCTCTGGAATTATTATTGCATGTTATAACTTTGTTGACATTCTAGAGTAATAAATAGTTCATTCTGCAAGGTCACAGTTTACATCAATGGCATTAATCAAAGACATTTCAGTTACTGAAATTTGCAGCACTGCAACCTGGATCTTTGTATGTACTTCCTCCAACTATTATGTTCTGGTTCATGCCTCTAGATCAGATGCTGCAATTGGCAATGCAATATGAGGATACTACTCAGGAATCACCTGAAGTGGAGCACCCACAGGGGTATAGATGTGCATGTGCCCTGCACCTTCGATCTGAGATTTTCGATAGCAGTCTGTTCGGCCCACAAATGCATGCTACACATCTTCGTTCCCTGATCGGAGGATATACAGGGCTGCACAAGCAAACTGCTCTCAGCTCCTTCTCCCCCTCCCCCCCCCTCCCCTCCCCCCCCCTTCAGAATTCCCTTTGTGAGAGGAGGGCAGGTAGAGGAGCACCCACAGGAACACATACCTTGAATAACTCCTGTTACTGCACAAGGTCAATAACGTCTCTTCAAGTAGAGTCCCTGTAGGTGCTCCACTTCAGATATCAAAGAACTCTGGTTACTGCACAATGTGAGTAATACCTCTCCCCATGAGGCATCATGGACACTTAAAAACATTCAGCTTAACATTGAATTGACTCAGAAAGAAATGTTTCAATGAATTAAAACAAAAAATATCAGTTTTGGAATGCCAAAACAAAACGTTTCAACATTTTCAATTTTTTTTTCACATTTCTACTTTTAGTTCAGATTTAGGATGAAAACAAATGTAGAAATACTGGAATTTCCCACAGGATGGAAATTCCAATTTTCACGCAGCCCTGGTTATGTTTCACCTTAAAGGTAGCTGCATTGGACTGATGGATAGTCAGGACACTATTTTCCTTGCAATTCAGCATCCTCAGATTTTGGGGGGCACTTCTTCATTTTACATCACAATATGTGCCCCACTGTGGAAAAAACCTTTCCAGCAGTTTTCAGTACAAACTACTTCCTGGGAATGGACCGAACTACAAAGACACTTGTTCGTGAAATTCATTTTCACTGATGTCAAGAAAAGCAGAATTGTGAATAATGTACAGCCAAATGTTGAAGGTGAATATCCAAACTAATATTTGAAACACTGGTTACTTTTACCCTTCTCTACTGTTCACCAAACAAGAGCCTTTCAGACCCTGAAAGCCACTATCAGTGTAGCTGAAGGAGGACATCCAAGCTAAGATTTGAAATACTGATTACTCTTACCATTTGAGATCTGTAATGATGCTATGATAAAATGTCCCCTTTTCCGTTTTACCTAAACTAGTATGTACTTACCCTGGAAGAAATCAGCATCAGTTTTAGATCTGTAATATTTTACCATTTTAGTGTCCAGAATTTTTTAATTTCTCTGTTTTTTACATTTTGTATAACATTAATCTTAACTTCTTTTGGGTTAAGACATTTACTATTTTTAGTTTTTTGAATTAATTCATTCAGGAATTTACATTGAAAAAAATTAAATAATTCTTGCTTTCTGGGAGGAACTCAAATTTTGTAATTTGTGTTTTCAGAAAATCATGAGCCTGTAAAAACTAGGGAATTGATGGCTAAGTTAACTCCTATAGCTTTTTCTTCTGTATTTGGAAGCAGCCTTATTGAAAAGCATATTTTCTACAATATGAATTTTGTTTTCTCATCTCAGTTATTATTGATAAAGCAAATAAATGAAAAAAACAAAAACCCCTACCTAACTGATATTAACTATACTGTAGTGTATTTAAAGATATAGAAATGTCACTTTTAAACACTTGAGTAACTAAACTTCCTTCACCTTGAAAACCAAAATTTGCTAATTCTGTTCGCCTATACTATACAATATAATAAAGTGTAAACTGTAATTGCTTTAGAGATTGAGAGGAGAAAAATAAAAATGACAAGAGATTTCCTCTTGATTCATTCATTAGCTAAACACACAATTTTATTTTACTAGCACCAAGGGATACCTCTTTTAATTTAAAAGCGAAACAAAAGTAATTTTGCTGTTTTTGGCAGATACTATAGGGCAGGGATGGGCAAAACTTTTTGACCTGAGGGCCACATCTGTTTATCGAAATTGTATGGCAGGCCATGAATGCTCACGAAATTGGAGGTTGGGGTGGAGGGGGGGTGAGGGCTCTGGGGTGGGGCTGGGGATGAGGGGTTGGGGGTCAGGAGGGTGCTCCGGGCTGGGACCGAGGGGTTGGAGGGCATGAGGGGGATCAGGGCTGGGGCATGGGGTTGGAGCATGTGTGGGGGAGGGGTCAGGGGTGCATGCTCTAGGGGGCACTTACTTCAGGCAGCTCCCAGAAGCCGTGACATGTACTACCTCCGACTCCTTTACGGAGGCGTGGCCAGACAGCTCTGCACGCTGCCCTGTCCACAGGCGCCACCCCTGCAGCTCCCATTGGCTGCGTTTCCTGGCCAATGGGAGCTGCAGGGGCAGCGCTTGGGGCAGGGGCAGCTTGAGGAGCCCCCTGGTTGCCCCTATGCATAGGAGCCAGAGAGGGGAGATGCCACTGCTTCTGGGAGCCCACGAAGCTGGGTAAGCCCCTGATTCAGCACCTCAGCGGGAGCTTGAGGGCCAAATTAAAACATCTGGAGGGCCAGATGTGGCCCCGGGCTGTAGTTTGCCCACCCCTGGTATAGGGGCAGATAATGCTAACATTTTGGAAATTTTATATTGAATCATAGGACTGGAAGGTACCTCAAGATGTCATCTAGTCCAGTCCCCTGCGCTCATGGCAGGACTAAGTATTCTCTAAACCAGTGGTAATCCACTGGCGGGCCACAAGACAGTTTGTTTGTTTACACTGACCGTCCGCAGGCATGCTGCCTGCAGCTCCCAGTTGCCACAGGTTGCCCCCCACTGATCGAAACCATCCCTGACAGGTGTTTGTTTAACCTGCTCTTAAAAACCTCTGATGATGGAGATTCCACAACCTCCCTAAGCAATTTATTCCAGTGGTTAACAACCCTGACAGGAAACTTTTCCTAATGTCCAACCTAAACCTCCCTTGCTGCAATTAAGGCCATTGCTTCTTGTCCTATCCTCAGAGGTTAACAAGAACAATTTTTCTCCCTCCTCCTTGTAACAACCTTTTATGTACTTGAAAACTATTATCATGACCTCCCCCACCTCCAGTCTTCTCTTTTCCAGACTGAAAAAATTGTTTTGTTTTTTTTTAATCTTCCCTCCTAGGTCTTGTTTTCTAGGCCTTTAAGAATTTTGGTTGCTCTTCTCTGGACTTTCACCCATTTGTCCACATCTTTCCTGAAATGTGGTGCTCGGAGCTGGACACAGTACTCCAGTTGAGGCCTAATCAGCATGGAGTAGAGCAGAAGAATTACATTGCATGTCTTGATTACAACACTCCTACTAATAAATCCCGGAATGATGTTCGCTTTTTTTGCAAGAGTGTTACACTGACTTATATTTAGCTTGTGGTCCACTATGACCCCAAGATCTTTCTGTAGTACTCCTTCATAGGCAGTCATTTCCCATTTTGTATGTGTGCAACTGAATGTTTCTTCCTAAGTGGAGTACTTTGCATTTGTCCTTATTGAATTTCATCCTGTTTACTTCAGACCATTTCTCCAGATCATTTTGAATTATAATCCTATCTTCCAAAGCACTTGCAACCCCTCCCAGATTGGTATCGTCTGCAAACTTTATAAGTGTACTCTCTGTCGTCATCTAAATCATTGATGAAGATATTGACCCGAACCAGAACTGATCCCTGCGGGACCCCACTCTTTATGCCCTTCCAGCATGACTGTGAACCACTGATAACTACTCCCTGGGAACAGTTTTCCAACCAGTTATTCACTCACCTTATAGTAGCTCCATCTAGCTTGCATTTCCCTATTTTGTTTGAGAAGGTCATGCAAGACAGTATCAAAAGCTTTACTAAAGTCAAGATATACCACATCCCCCTTATCCACAAGGCTTGTTACTCTGTCAAAGAAAGCTATCAGGTTGGTTTGACACAATTTGTTCTTGACAAATCCATGCTGACTGTTCCTTATCACTTTATTATCTTCTAGATGTTTGCAAATTGATTGCTTAATTATTTGCTCCATTATCTTTCCAGGTACAGAAGTTAAGCTGACTGGTCTGTAATTCCCTGGGTTGTCCTTATTTCCCTTTTTATAGATGGGCACTGTATTTGTGCTTTTCCAGTCTTCCATGACTTTTCAAAGATAATCACTAATGATTCAGATATCTCCTCAGTCAGCTCCTTGTGTGTTCTAGGATGCATTTCATCAGGCGCTGGTGACTTGAAGACATCTAACTTGTCTAAGTAATTTTTAACTTGTTCTTTCCCTAATTTAGCCTCTGATCCTACCTCATTTTCACTGGCATTCACTATGTTAGACGTCCAGTCACCACCAACCTTCTTGGTGAAAACTGAAACGAAGTCATTAAGCACCTCTGCCATTTTCACGTTTTCTGTTACTGTTTTTCCCCCCTCACTGAGGGAATAATGAGGAATGATTTCTCTAAAATTACATTTCTGCATAAGGGGATCACTTAATGAAGGTTTCTTTAAAACAGAAGCCAAATTTTGAAGGAGATTGAAGTTAAAAGCCCAAGGAAGTGCAATAAAAATGAACTGTGGTATTCAGATATTAATGCTTTCAAGGTGCTTCTACGCAGTTTATAAGCTGCAGTGCCCCCAGCTGGTAAGATGGATAACTGGTTAGTTGTTTCAGCAAACTAGAACGTAGTTGTAGCCAAGCCGTCCCAGGATATTAGAGGGACAAGATGGGTGCGGTAATATCTTTTATTGCACCAACTTCTGTTGGTGAAAGAGACAAGCTAAAAGCCATACAGAGCTCAAGAGCTTGACTCTTGGACCAGCTTCCGTTGGTGACGTTGAAGATAATTACCTCACTCACCTCATCTCACCAAAATAGAAGCAGACTAAATGGACATAAGCAAAAGCACTTAAACAATTTTTCATAGTGAAAAATACAGGATGAAGTCTTAATGGACTTCAATAAGCTTTTTAGAATAGTACATGTGTGCACAATATCAAATTTGCCAAGAAATGGGATAGGAATTTATAAATTGACTTTGATTTCCAAATGCTACAATGCTAATTGTGTCAGTAAAATCTAACAGATTGTTTCATGCACTAACTGCAGTGTCCCCAATTTATTATGTAAGATGAATCTTAAGTTATTTTATAATGCCCTAGAACTGATGCTGATATGGCTGATTTCTAGCCATTGCTGCACTTTTTTGTGGAATAGTTACTTGATTATGAAATTAGCTCTAATTCAGCCTTGACAATAGGAGTGTTACCTTATTATCTCCACTTTACTGCATCCAGATCTGATATTCATTTAGATATCAAAGTAGTAATCTGAGCACTCTTAAATTTTACTCACCTGTTTTGTTTTCAGAGTTTTGCCTAGCAATTTATTACATGTTATTCAGTTACTGTACGTTGTTTAGTGGATAAAGTTTTGTGCTCATTTTGCAATTTAAAATATTGTTCAAATAGGTTGGTTGGGGAGTGGCAGTAATTCCACAGGTTTTCTAATAAAAAGAATCCTTTTGGGTTATCTGCACTATCCTGACATCCTTAGAGAAGGGTAATATAAGAAAGCTTTTTATAAAGAAGTTTACATGCTAATTTATTTCATTTTTGTAGGTGTATGATGATGGAAAGTACGTATATGTGGTAACAGAACTTATGAAAGGAGGAGAACTCCTGGACAAAATTCTTAGGCAAAAATTTTTCTCAGAACGAGAAGCTAGTGCTGTCCTGCTCACAATAACGAGAACTGTTGAGTACCTCCATGCACAAGGGGTAAGTCTTCTACTTGAAGAAAACATTTAGGAATGCATTATCTAATATATATTGAAACACACTTCCCTGTGCCAAGTTGCAAGGACAAATCCACATCTGATACATTCTTCCATTGTGTAAAAATTTAACAAATGTTTCCTAGAAAATAACTATACTGCACCAAACCTTTTCTCCAAAACTCTGAAACTCCCCATAGTTTCTGTAGCGGAAAGCTCATTTTGACAGACAAGTAATTTAGAGGTGGGTAAGGTTGATGTGGTGATAGTTGGAGTCAAGAGTGAAGAATCCTTCTTTGTAAAAGAAGGGAACCCAATGGATAAGGACAAAGATGGAGTGTGACATTGGGAGCCAGGGAAACCATAAGGCAGAAAGTAGTGATGTTACCAAAACAAGTGGAGGGCTTGGATGAGGAAAACAGATGAAACATCTGTAACTGTGATGAGAAGAAAAAGAAGGGGAAAATAAGCTTTATAATTAACAACTCATTAATACATTCATTTGCTTGTCTGCCATGGCATCCCATTATGTACGGTAACAGTCTTTGTGACAAACGTTGAAGTCCATATTCCTAACTGTATATTTCAAGAAGCAGTTGTCAATAATTCAGCCTACGTGATCTTTGTTTCTCCAAACACTATAGTTCTAGAAAATTTGGAGATGAAATTACTTGATGTTTGTAAGGGAGTTGCACTCACCTCTCGCGAGCGCCCCCCAGCCGAGCGCGTGTGCCTGCACTCTCTCTACCTGTTTATGATGGCTCTTTGACTCCAGCCAAGTCACACACAGTCTGTCTGTGAGATAAAAGCAACGCAAACCCCTTTCGGGGTACAAGTCCAACAGGGGCCTCTCTCAGTGCCCTCTGTAATGTCTCTCTGTTCCTGCTCATAATAGAGCAGTGCCCCAGGACTCTTTCCCTGGAGGCAATGTCTTCACCCTCTCAGGGCCTTTCTGTCCCCAGCTCTTCAGCTGGGCCACTACAGTTCAGTCCCCTTTCTGAGGTGCCTCAAAGTCCAGGCCACTTTCCCAGTAGCTAGTGGGGGGGACCCAGGCTCACCCTCTACTCTAGTTCCCAGCCCAAGGAACCTATAGATAGCAGCTGTTCGCAATGTCCCTTTAAATAAACTGCATTGCTGCTATAATTCCCTGGGCCGCTTCCCTGCGGCTCCTGCACGTTCTTCACCCTTACCTCAGGGCCTTGTCCTTGTGCAGTCTCAGCAGGCAGCCTGGAGGACCATCCATTCGCCTTCAGCTCTAGCAAAGAACTGAACTCGCTTTGGCCCTACAGCTCTTCTTATGCTGACTTGCTGGGCTCTAATTGGCTGTTTCTCACACAGCTGCTCTAGGCAACTTGGAGGACCCCTCTACTTCCCTTTTCTGAGGCGGGGTGTGGCAGGGCCACAAGGCCTCCAGCAGGGGGCCTCAGGGCCTAGTCCACTCCGTCACAGTGTTCATCATAATCAACTCATGCCAAACATCACTTTCATGCTCGGAGTGCCCAAATTTGAAAGCTGGACCTATTGTATTGTTCTCAAAATTAACTCATGTATTTCACCATTCTGACATTCTGGGTAGCCAAAAACAATGCATATAGTGTATTGGAGTTGATATTAGAAACATCACCTTCTTTTAAAGTCCATTGCTAACTGCAAATTAAAAAGCAGTGAAGTAAGTGCTTATAATAGAGAACGCTATCCTATATTTTGTTTTTTGTATTTGTGTTTTTATTTAGGTTGTTCATAGAGATCTGAAACCTAGCAACATTCTTTACGTTGATGAATCTGGTAACCCAGAATCAATTCGAATTTGTGATTTTGGCTTTGCAAAACAACTAAGAGCAGAAAATGGTCTTTTGATGACTCCATGTTACACAGCAAATTTTGTTGCTCCAGAGGTAAATACCAAGTTCTGGTTTACATTCCTTCAGATTATCTTAATAGTTTTTTTCCCCCATCATTTAAACATTGTTTCTCCATTATTGCATAGTTGTAAAATTATCAATGAATTTAGCTTTTGAAACAATAAACAGTTGAGATCTTTGAAGTAATATAACTTTGGCACCAAAATCATAGTAAAGTATACTGTTTTCTGTAGAAATTAATATATTTGCTTTTCACAGGTTTTAAAAAGGCAAGGCTATGATGCTGCTTGTGATATATGGAGTCTTGGTGTCCTGCTTTATACTATGCTCACTGGGTGAGTTTGCAGAAATTTAGTGGGTTTTTTTGTTTGTTTATATAGGTTTACTATTCTCAAACAAAGTATTGATTATGTGCTCAATCCTGCAAGTTGCTAATATTCCTGGGAGGTTCTGGATGCTGGTTTCAGTGGGAGTTGAAGGTGCTCTGCATGTGGTAGGATCAAGTTCTTAAGAGTCTGATATCTAAAATAAACTTCCCTTTATGAGTTTGCTTAACTGTTGTTAAATCCAGTCAAAGATTATATCAAATGTATGTTTTGTAGCCTTTTGATTATTTAAGAATAGGAATAGACTCTCATACACTGTTACTTTACATGAAGTGGAAACTTGTTCCTACCAAAAAAGCTAGAAAGTACTATGCATATTGAAGAGAATATATGTGGTTAAGATTTACCAGTTGTGATATGGTGTTCCTAGAGCAGCCCTCACTGCAGCCTGCCCTGACCTTGGCATTTCCAAAAGGGAGAGCAGATACTCCCAAGACTGGTGGATAACACTCAAGTTGAATTCCCCACCAGTCACAAACTGTGCTTCTGATCTCCCACACTGGTTTTTAAGAAGCAAAAAAAGAAATCACACAGCCCCCCTTTATTGCATTCCAGTTCTCTGTTTCCCAGTCAGCACATAGGTCCAGTACAGTGATAGGTTATTTAAAAAACTCTGCTCACATATATACAAATTGTTCTTCTGACCCCAAAGGGTCATCCATGTTACCAGGTCAGTATAGGTTTGGATCTTACCCAAAATACCACACTGCCAGCCAATCCTTTAGTGTCTAAAACAAAAGGTTTATTATAAAGAAAAAAGAAAGAACAAGAAGAGAGCTGTTAAATGGTAAAGCAGTCACATACATACAAATATTCAAAGTTCATGTTTTAGGTCCTTAGCAGTATTGCTGAGTGTGCTGGCTTGAAAGTCCCTTTGGAATACATCCAAAGCTTGGATGAGTCCTTCAGGCCTTTGTTCAGAGCTTCAGTTTGTAGCAAAGTTTTTTCCAGTATAAGAAGCAGGACTGAAGACAAAATGGAGATGATGCAGCTGCCCTTTATAGTCCTTTTGCCACATGCTGATACTTCCTTTGTTTCAGATACAAACTCATAGCAGATAGCACATGGCACTGAAAGGCCTGCATGCCTGGCTGAGTCATAGGGTATAGTCCCTGGCCCTTTCAATGGGTTCATTGTACAGTTGATGTCCCTTGATGAGCCATCATGCAGGCCTAGCACTGATGTCAGTCTGTCTGGGGATGTCACCCAGAAACACAGCACAAGTTTGGAAATACAGATATACCCTACATATCTATAACTCATAATACAAAAGTGATACAAACATGTGAACAATACCATCATACTTGGCAAAGTATAACATTTTCGCAGGTAATTCACACAGCATATCTGGCATGATTCATTGCAATTGTAGGATATTGATATCAACAATATCATAAAATGTCTCCCATATTCCCTACAGCGTCACACCAGTGATGCTTTGAAGTTTACTCCTTAGGGGAATTCTGCGCCACTAAGCATGCACAGAATTTATGTCCCCCGCAGATTTCTTTTTTTCCCTGCAGAAAAATGACTTTCTGACAGGAAAGCCACAAGAGCAGTCATGCGACCTGCTACAGCAGTATGTTTCGGGTGCCCCAGGCAGCCAGCAAAGCGGCAAATCACTGGGGAGTAGGGGCTGGGACTGGGAAAGCCCTGGCTGGTGGCTCCTACCCTGCGCCAGGATCAGCTGATAGTCCCACCTTCGCTGGGGAGGACAGGACTTCCTCTTCCCCTTCCCCTACATGGCCCCTACATGGCATCCTCTTCCCCTTCCCCTACATGGCATCCGGAGCCAGGTCAGACCAACCTGCAGATTTCTCCTCCAGCTGCAGGAAGCTCTGCAAACGCTTCCCCCACACACTCGCTTCCTGCACTCATTGCACCTCAGATGCAGGGGCAAGGATCCCTGTACAGGGAGCTGATCCCCAATCCAACCAACCCCTGTGCATCCAGACCCAATCATAGCTTACTGCGCCTCACCCCCACACACTCAGAACCCCCTGATGAGCCCCACTCGCCCTTCATCTGGACCACCCTGACATGCCATCCGGATCCCCCTACTGAGCCCCAACCAGCTACACCTGGTTCCCTACCCCACTGAGCCCCCCAACCCCAGTATCTGGACCCTGACTAACCCCCCACACCCAGACTCCCATGCCAAGCTCTATTCTCTACATAGCCAGATCCCCCTTGCTGAGCCCCAGCCACCTTCACCTGGACCCCCCTGCAGAGTCCCATTACTGTTGCACCCAAAAAACCCCAATAAGCCCGTGTGCATCTGGATCTCCCACTGAGCTGCCTGCACCCAGATTGCCTCATATACAACTCTTTCAGTTCGCACATGGACACCCCATATTGAACCCCTCCACACTTGGATCCTGTCTTGTTGAGCCTGTCTGCCCACACCTGGTGCATCTGGCATAGAGGGGCAGGGCCCTGGGGTGTTTCTAGGGCAGGCACGGTCCTTGCACTGTGTCAGGGGTGGGTGCAGCCTCACCGCTGAGTCTGTGTCCTGAGCGGGGACCTGTACAGTGATCTCCCACCTCTGTGCAGCCAGTGGCCTGTGCTCCCCAATGCCATGCTGAAGCCTCCACATGTATTTTGACAAAATTTACAGAATTTTTCAGAATTTTAAAATGTGTGCAGAATTTTTAATTTTTGGCGCAGAACGTTCTCAGGAGTAGAAGTTTGATTACTCACAAGAATGAATCGGATCACTTCTCACAATACAGTCAGAATGATATATGCAATACAAGTGATCTGCATGAAAGAATACATTAAGTACGAGTACATCAAGCAATAATTCCAAATCTCAGCTTTGAAAAATACCACTTATACAGCCAATTAACCTCTTACACCTCACTTACAAGTTAGCCTCAAGATGCTTATAAAACTATTTGGTTATCATTTATTTAGTGCCACAATTTTACAGTATTCCTGTTCATCTTAACCTCTTAACTAAGGCATTGAAATCCACGTGTATAAAAATTAATTATTCTCCTCATTCTCAGTTATGTTTAGTGTACTTTGTTAGTTCAATAGCAAGGATGTGAATTGTTAAACAAGGTAAATCCTCTAGGGTTTAGTGACTTCTTTCTTATTCTTTCTCAGCTAGCGTCAGGCTGGGTATTCGTTCTGTGCAGGTCAGAGTCCTCAAGTCCTCCTTTTCAGAGTTTTTATACACAGTTAGTCCTTTCATTTCACCAGGATGTACTGACTTTTGGCAATAATAGGTACAGTCTCTGGATCTGTGACTCAGAATTAGCCTAAACTTAGACACACTCTCTTACAGAAGGAATATAGTAAGAGAAACAGGCCCTTACTCCCATTCTACCATGTAGTTCATCTATTATTTATTATTTTGGGTGCTTTTGCCATCAGTTTTACGATAATTTGTGATTTTGGAGGGGGGGGGGATGTTAATTATGATTATTTTGAAACCACTGGCAACTGTGGTCAGACTTGAAATAAGGATTGGAGTCCAGCACGGAAAAGCTATTAATACTCTGAACTTGTTTGGTTAATTAGCTACACTCCTTTTGCAAATGGCCCTGATGATACCCCAGAGGAGATATTGGCACGAATAGGTAGTGGAAAGTTCTCTCTCACTGGTGGTTACTGGAATTCAGTTTCAGTTACAGCTAAGGCAAGTATATTTAATATTTTGTCCTTTTGTGCATGGGACGGATGTTGACAGATTTTGTAAAGGATTTTTTTCACAATAAAAATTGCTTATAGCATTAGAGAACATGATTTTAATGAAGGTTGCAGGTTTTTAAAAATTTACTGAGCCAATCCTTTGTATGAGTAGATATTTATTTGATAATTATGAATCCTTCATGTTTAAACAGTCAGTCCTGTGTAGGAAGAAAAATAACCACATTTAATACCACCACTGTTAATTCAGTGGGGCATTGGAAAACCAAATCAGGATGCAGTAGTTATGGCCACCTACTCTTGGGTGCCTCTTTTGTGGATCCATGAAGTGTCTGTGAAGAGCAGCCATAACTTGGCACTATATATATAATGTCCAAAAGCATTCGATATCCTTCATGACCCTCTATCTAGTTATAATAAAGCCCTAATATGCTCAAAGAACTCAGATTATTTAAGCATTTCCCCCCCTTCTTTGGCTAATGTCTTTAATTTGCTTTGAGCTTCCATATGTCTTGATTTTTAAATACAAGTATTTTCCCACATTTTATGTTAAACAGCCTGACTGACACATCTACCTGTTGTCCTGGACAAGATATAGAATCACTTATCTCTTTATTCAGTGCCATCCCAACCACTTATACTGGGAGTCCCGAATGTGTCTAAAATCATTCAACTTTTAAGAAGTCTTTTCATTAGGGTCTTTATTCTAAACTCCACAACAGAGAGTTTGTTTTATAAGAAAATGTTTGCATGCTGTTAAGTACCTTAGAATGTTTTTAGGCAGTTTAAGATTACTAAATACATTTTTTTTCTCATAACCAGTTGTCCCAGAATTAGAAGTTTTGTATTCTCCTTACCCTTTATATGGGGCCTGGTCTACAATATAGAATCAGGTCGACGTAAGGCAGCTTATGTTGACCTAATTATGTAAGTGTATACTTCAGCCAATGTGAGTGCCCTATTACACAGACATCATAACTCAAGCCTTACGCCTCTCAAGGAGGTGATGCCTGTGTAGTTAGGGCAATGCAGTGTCTGTGTTGACACTGTGGGTTACTTATGTTGGCTGTTGGTTGTCATTCTTGTCAATTTCATGGCTCCAAATTGACAAGAAAGTTGCTCACAGCTTGTGCTGTCATGCCGGGTAATGTGGGGGGCTCCAGCTAGAGCTCTGCTGGCCCCCGTTTCCAGCTGGCCTGCTGCCTGGACTCCCCACTCAGAGCTGGGCTGCCCCAGGGTCCCAGCTCCTAGCAGGGCTGCTGCCCAGACTCCCTGTACCTAGCTGGGCTTCAGCCCAGGCTCCTCGCTCGGAGCCAAGCTGTCCCCAGCATCCCTGCTCCCATCCTGGTGGCTGCCCAGGCTCCCTGTGCCTGGCCCCCTTCTCCCCACTGAGAGTTGGGGTCCCGGCTCCCTGCTTCCAGCTCGTGCTTAATGCTTAATCGCATTAAGTTGGTGGAGTGCATCCACAGTACTGAGGTTAGCATCAACTTTCAGAGCATTGCACTGTGGATAGCTATCCCACAGTTCCAGCAGTCTCCGCCGCCCATTGGAATATTGGGTTAAGTTCCCAATGCCTGATGGGGCAAAAACATTGTTGCGGGTGGTTTTGGGTACATGTCGTCAGTCACCCCTCCCTCCGTGAAAGCAACGGCAGACAATCATTTCGTGCCTTTTTTTCGTGTGAGCGCCATACTGCTTTCAGCAGACAGTGCAGTAGGTCTGCAAACAGTCGCATCGAACGACGGCTTTCACTGCCACTCTGCTCTCCTGATGCTATGAATCAACCTTGCAGGTCCTCTATATGACCATCGTTATCCACCACTTCCACTGCCACTCTGCTCTCCTGGTGGTCTCGCAAGGCTGCTTCCACTGCAACTCTGCTCGGCTGCTCTTGTCTCGCCATACCATGGCTAGAGTGCAGCCCACTCAGCCATTGTGTCCTGGCAGCAGACGGTGCAGTAGGTCTGCAAACCATTGTCATTGAACGACCGCTTCCGCTGCCACTCTACTCTCCTGCAGGCGCCATACCACAGCAAGCATGGAGCCTGCTCGTATCACTGCAGCAGTTACGAGCATTGTAAACACCTTGTGCATTATCATGCAGTATATGCAGAACCTGAAAAAGCAGGCGAGGAGGCGATGGCAGCGCGGTGATGAGGACATGGACACAGACTTCTCTCAAAGCATGGGCCCCAGCAATTTGACTATCCTGGTGGCAGTGGGGCAGGCTCATGCCATGGAACGCCGATTCTGGGCCCGGGAAATAAGCACAGACTGGTGGAACCGCATAGTGTTGCAGGTCTGGGACGATTCCCAGTGGCTGCAAAACTTTTGCATGCGTAAGGGCACTTTCATGGAACTTTGACTTGCTTTCCCCTGCCCTAAAGTGCAAGAATACCAAGATGAGAGCAGCCCTCGCAGTTCACAAGCGAGTGGCGATTGCCCTCTGAAAGCTTGCAACTCCAGACAGCTGCCGGTCAGTCAGGAATCAATTTGGAGTGGACAAATCTACTGTGGGGGCTGCTGTGATGCAAGTAGCCAATGCAATCACTGAGCTGCTGCTATCAAGGGTAGTGCCTCTGGGAAATGTGCAGGCCATAGTGGATGGCTTTGCTGCAATGGGATTCCCTAACTGTGGTGGGGCAATAGACAGAATGCATACCCCTTGGGCCTGGATCACCGAGGCAGCCAGTATATAAACCGCAAGGGGTACTTTTCAATGGTGCTGCAAGCACTGGTGGATCACAAGGGACATTTCACCAACATCAATGTGGGATGACTGGGAAAAGTACGTGACGCGCGCATCTTCAGGAACTCTGGCCTGTATGAACAGCTGCAGCAAGGGACTTACTTTCCAGACCAGAAAATAACCACTGGGGATGTTGAAATGCTTATAGTTATCCTTGGGGACCCAGCCTACCCCTTAATGCCATGGCTCATGAAGCCATACACAGGCACCCTGGACAGTAGTCAGGAGCTGTTCAACTATAGGCTGAGCAAGTGCAGAATGGTGGTAGAATGTGCATTTGGACTTTTAAAAGCGCGCTGGCGCAGTTTACTGACTCGGTTAGACCTCAGCGAAACCAATATTCCCACTGTTATTACTGCTTGTTGTGTGCTCCTCAGTATCTGTGAGAATAAGGAGGAGACATTTATGGCGGGGTGGGAAGTTGAGGCAAATCGCCTTGCCGCTGATTACGCACAGCCAGACACGCGGTTAGAAGAGCACAGTAGGGCGCGCTGCGCATCAGAGAAGCTTTGAAAACCAGTTTCATGGCTGACCAGGCTATGGTGTGACAGTTCTGTTTTGTTTCTCCTTGATGAAAACCCGCCCCCTTAGTTCACTCTACTTCTCTGTAAGCCAACCGCCCTCCCCTCCCCCCTTCAATCACCGCTTGCAGAGGTAATAAAGTCATTGTTTCAAATTCATGAATGCTTTATTAATTCGTCACACAAATAGGGGGATAACTGCCAAGGTAGCCCAGGAGGGTTCGTGGAGGAGGGAAGCACCGGGTGGGGTGGGGGAGGAGGGAAAGACAAGGACAAACTGCACTTCAAAACTTATTGAATGCCAGACTTTGGTTGCTTGGGCAGTCCTTTGGGGTGGAGTGGTTGGGTGCCCGGAGCGCCAGCACCCTTCCCCTGCCCCCCCCCCCGGCATTCTTGGGGGTCTGGGTGAGGAGGCTATGGAACTTGGGGAGGAGGACAGTTGGTTATACAGGGGCTGCAGTGGTGGTCTGTATCTTTCCTGGACCTCAACCATACGCCGGAGCATATCAGTTTGTTTCTCTAGTAGCCTCAGCATTGCATCCTGCCTCCTTTCATAATGCTGCCGCCACCTTTCCTCTTGATCCCGCCACCTCTCCTGTTGCTCCTGCCACTTGTCCTCTCACGCATCCCTCCTGTCCTCGCATTAATTTTGTGCTTTCCTGGACTCTGCCATTGTCTGCCTCCACACATTCTGCTGGGCTCTTTCAGTTTGGGTGGACTGCATGAGCTCAAAGAACATTTCATCATGATTGCGATTTTTTCGCCTTCTTATCTGCGCTAGCCTCTGGGACGGAGATGCTAGTCGCAGCGTTGAAACATTTGCAGCTGTGGGAGGAAAAAAAGGGAGATTAAAATTGAAAGACACATTGGCCGTTTAAAAGGAGGAGCTGATGTTTTTGGGTTAACGTGCAGCACAAACCCAACTAAACCCCACACCCAATTCTCTGGGATGATCACTTCACCCCTCCCACAACCGTGTGGCTAACAGCAGGGATGATTTCTTTTCAGCCACAGTCAAACAGCCCAGCAGGAACGGCCACCTCTGAATGTTCCCCTGAATAAAATTCCCCTATTTCAACCAGGTGACCATGAATGATATCACTCTCCTGAGGATAACACAGAGAGATAAAGAACGGATGTTGCTTGAATGCCAGCAAACGCCAGGACCATACGCTGCCATGCTTTCTTATGCAGTGATTCCAGACTACATGCTACTGGCCTGCCGTGGTAAAGTGTCCTACCATGGAGGACGCAATAAGGCTGCCCTCCCCAGAAACCTTTTGCAAAAGCTTTGGGAGTACCTCTAGGACAGCTTCATTGAGATGTCCCTGGAGGATTTCCACTCTATCTCCAGACATGTTAACAGACTTTTCCAGTAGCTGTACTGGCCGCAAATGCATCCCAAGTCTTCAGGGCAAATTAATCATGAAACACGCTTGCTTTTAAACTGTGTATTCTATTTACAAAGGTACACTCACCAGAGGTGCCTTCTCCGCCTTCAAGGTCTGGGAGCCTGGGTTGGGAGGGTATTGGCTCCAAGGTGATAAACCGTTCCTGGCTGTCGGAGAGAACGGTTTCTCCGCTTGCTTGGTGTGCGCTATCTTGAACCTCCCACTCCTCATCTTCCTTGTCCCCAAAATCTTGCAGGAGTCCACGTACAGGTGTGGGGTACTTGTAAGGGCACCCCTTAGAATTGCATGCAGCTCATCATAGAAGCGGCATGTCTGGGGCTGTGACCCCGAGCGAGTGTTTGCCTCTTGGGTTTTTTGGTAGGCTTGCCTGAGCTCCTTAAGTTTCACGCAGCACTGCTGTGGGTCCCTGTGATAGCCTCTGTGCTTCATGGCCTTGGAGATTTTTCTCAAATATTTTGTCTTTTGGAACGGAGTTCTGATAGCATGGATTCGTCTCCCCATACAGCGATCAGATCCAGTACCTCCCGTTCGGTCCATGCTGGAGCTCTTTTGCGATTCTGGGACTCCACGGTCACCTCTGCTGATGAGATCTGCACGGTCACCTCTGCTGATCAGCTTGCCATGCTGGCCAAACAGTAAATGAAATTCAAAAGTTCGCGGGGCTTTTCCTGTCTATCTGGCCAGTGCATCTGAGTTGAGAGTGCTGTCCAGAGCGGTCACAATGGAGCACTGTGGGATAGCTCGTGGAGGCCAATACTGTCGAATTGCATCAACACAATTATGTCCCAAATTCAACCCGTCCTTGTCTATTTCAGCGCTAATCCCCTTGTCAGGGAGAAGTACAGAAATTGATTTTAAGAGCCCATTAAGTTGACAAAAATGGCTTCGTTGTGTGGACAGGTGCAGGGTTAAATATATCTAACGCTGCTAAATTTGACCTAAACTCGTAGTGTAGACCAGGGCTAAGATACCTCAGAATTGATCTATATAATTCACTTGCATACTGCTCTTCACTTGACTAGTTACTTTGCAAACTCTCTAATAGATCTTGGCATTTGTGGGCACAGTATGGAGTAATACTTCAACCACTTCCAGAGGATGGCCTAGAGATTTGTTTTAACTACTGATCACAACAAAATATTTCTTCATATCTTGAATTTTAATCATGTTTAACATTGTTAATGCTCTAAAAATAATCCTACTGCCTTAAATTTTACTGTTCATCTGAATTAACTGTTTCTGGATTGTTGACAGGACCTGGTTTCAAAGATGCTTCATGTCGACCCACATCAAAGATTGACTGCTGCCCAGGTTCTTAGACACCCTTGGATAGTTGACTGTGACCAGTTGCCTCAGTACCAGCTAAACCGACAGGATGCTCCACATTTGGTGAAGGTAAATAAAATTTGTGTGTTCAGCTAGGTGATTAGCTAGTATTAATTGTAAACAAAAACAGTTACCGTGCATTTGCTCTCAGTACTAATCACAAACTTTTATGATTGTTTGTGAGTTCAGTAAACAGTGCATTCAACCATGTGAACTTGTGATTTACCTAATGTTTAAAAAGAAAAGGAGTACTTGTGGCACCTTAGAGACTAACCAATTTATTTGAGCATGAGCTTTCGTGAGCTACAGCTCACTTCATCGGATGCATATCGTGGAAACTGCAGCAGACTTTATATACACACAGAGAATATGAAACAATACCTCCTCCCACCCCACTGTCCTGCTGGTAATAGCTTATCTAAAGTGATCATCAAGTTGGGCCATTTCCAGCACAAATCCAGGTTTTCTCACCCTCCACCCCCCCACACACAAATTCACTCTCCTGCTGGTAATAGCCCATCCAAAGGGACAACTCTCTACACAATGTGCATGATAATCAAGTTGGGCCATTTCCTGCACAAAGGTATTGTTTCATATTCTCTGTGTGTATATAAAGTCTGCTGCAGTTTCCACGATATGCATCCAATGAAGTGAGCTGTAGCTCACGAAAGCTCATGCTCAAATAAATTGGTTAATCTCTAAGGTGCCACAAGTACTCCTTTTCTTTTTGCGAATACAGACTAACACGGCTGTTACTCTGAAACCTAATGTTTAGTAATACAGGTGAATCCATCTGTGGAGAATAAATCTGCTCTGTTCACAAAGAGCAGTACACTGCAATCTCCATGCTGTTTTACTACTTGTGTTGAGACAGATTACAAGATAAATGAGTTTATAAATAGTGTTTCCCCTGGTGATTTAGACTGCTGTCTCCTAGATTTTGAACTCTCATTTTAAAAAATAGTTCATCTGAGACTGTAAGTGATTTAGATGTTTACAATGGAGGAATTGTAGTTATGACTGCTAGTGTGATTTTAGTGGAGGGATTATAAGTGTAAAAATTGATATTTTGGAGGTGAAATTTATTTTTTTCCAAAATTTTCATTAAAAATAAGAAATGAAATGGAAACCTTTATAGTAAAGGTTATATTGAATGGTGTATTATGAAACAATCAACACTTGATAGTCTGAAACATAAACCACTTTTGATACCAACTGATTTTTTTTATTTTTATTTTAACCTGGATGGGTGAGATTGAAGATCCCCACACTCATTTCCCCCACACACATACAAAGTTCCTCAAAGGCCTTATGTCATGGTGAACCTCCCAACCTACAGAAGAGGGATCTTACATCTTAAGAGTTAATCAAATGACCCTAAGTCAACTGTAAGAGACAGAGCTTCCAGTAGTAAATGGCTTAGAAGGAAGGAACCAAGTTCAGATCCGAGCCATAGATTAGAATTTTCTAACAATCTGTAAACTTAATTTAGATGTATACGCTTCAAATTTATATAGACTAGTTATGAAACATTTTTTAAAGCAATTTTTAGTGATAACATAAATGATTAGACAGACCGTAAACAAGGACAATCCTCTGGTGGGATTTTACTCTCTGCACTTTTGGGATGTAGTTAAAGCAAAACTTAAGTGTGCAATATAAATGGCACCTGCTGATTTTTAAAAATCATGTCAGTTGCCTTAAACAATTTTAACATAGTTGAGCTCTTCCTGTGCTGCAAAAAAAGAAACTGTGGTCATGCTTTAAATAGCTAGAATACTACATTGGTAAATCAAGCCCATTGTTTTTAACCTACAGAAAACAGTTTGATGATTAAAGATCTCTAAATCGTGTAATACTGTTATGATCTCTAGAATGTAGTAAAGTCACAATGTGTGGGTTTTTTTTGTTTGTTTTACCTCTGCCTTCTAACCCTTTAGGGTGCCATGGCAGCCACATACTCTGCTTTGAACCGCAATCAGTCACCAGTTTTAGAGCCAGTAGGCCGTTCTACTCTTGCTCAGAGGAGAGGTATAAAAAAAATTACCTCAACAGCTTTGTGAAGTGACCTCAACCAGATACTTGGTACCATGGTATAAGATGATAGCACAAATCATGGCAACAAGTAGCACATATCTGCAAGCACACTCTGTCCCAGCTGGTACCCATAATGCTGCTGCTCCTATTGTTGCTACTGCTTTCATCTATTCTCCCTTTAAACTGTTGATGGCAAGTTACTGACCTTTCTGGAGCTTTGGATGGAGTGAAAAGTGGAAACACAATGAAAATGAACACGTTCACTGATTGAATAAACTAGAAGAATTATGAATGCCAACTCTATCATAAAAATACACTGAATAAAGCACTCTGCACCATATAGCATTATTTTTATAAAAAATATTTCTTGTCCCCTAAAATATTCTTTGTTACATGTTGGGATGGACAGTTTATGTTAAGCACTTAGCTTAAACAATCTGTTTATGTTAGCACTGTATACTTTGTGCCATCCAACATTTTGTATGTTTTTGTAAACAATTCATAAGCAGTACTTTTTTGTGCTGTTTTCTTTAATGTATACATGCCTTGGTTTATTTAGATTTTATTAATCATTTTGACAATTAACTCTGGTTAAACAGTTCACCTGGATTAATCAGTATTGTTGGACAGCTCTAAAACAGCCTTGACTGTTAAACAGCTATTGAATGTAATATTATGAATGTGTATTTTTCCTTGTCTGTCTTTTCTACATTTCCATGTTTTTGAAGTTGCATGTCTTTTATGAAGACCAGAGAGATGTTGTTGTATTAAAAATTTAAACAGTGGGTTTCTCACACATGTAATAGGTAATGCATCCATAAGAAAAAGTAACTTGTTCCACCTCACCCCCATCTCTTTTCCCCTGTTTTTCCCCCACCAATTACAGGACTCAGGAATCGTTGCTAAATAGTTTTCCCTTTCAAGACAGTTGTTTCTTGCTTATTCTCATAACTCATTTAATATTTTTACTTTTATTTTATTACTTTAGTTAAGAGCTGACAAATATGTTGTTCAGCCGGTGCGGGCATTAGAGAGTTAGAGAAGAAATGTAGTGCTGACTCTAAAGCAAAAGACAATGTCCATTGATAAACAGAAGCTTACCAAAAATGGATGTAAACTTTGTCTCTTGTGGTTAGAATATACTGGACTGATTAATTTCATTTTTTTCATTCGTGTGATGCTCTTAGTTTACAGTCCAAAGCAAAGTCAGAGAAGAACCATCCAGTACTTCCAACTGACATCTGAGGTTCTAGCACCATAATTGGTCTCCTTGGGCCACTCATCGCCAGTCCAGGCACCCTTAAAATTGTACTGTCCAAGTCAAGTAAAACAAAACCACCCTTTTCGTGTTCCTTGATGGTAGTGTTCTTCCCACTTCTCCTTTTAATGTGAGTGTAAAAGGCTCTTAGTTTACGTTCTGAGGACACAAATCATAAAATGTGCTTGCTTTTATGTAGTCTGTGAGATTCACTGCAGATGGCTGATCTTGAGTGTGCACTGGAGCACATTAAAGTTTGGCTGATACCCCATTCTGCCAAAGAAAATTGTACATCAACTGACTACCTGTATCAAATACCCTTTACAGAAATATCCAAAGCTACTAAATATGGAGCTTAGTGCACATTTTCTATGAACAATACTGTTTAAAAATCAAGAGATCACAAATGGTAGTGTGATTCTTGGTTAATTAGTCTGTTCAGTTATTTTTCCAGTAACTAATTTGTTAGTTTTTCTACAGTGAGAAGTTTTCAAGGAAATTTGTGGAGGGAGCGAAGTCCTTCATTAATGTGACACCACAGATTTCCTCCCTCTGATTCATTGATCCATATGAACATGGAACGAAGACTCTGTTAGAAGCTTTTAGTAATTCCTTGGCAAACAGGAAAGCTTAGGTTTTTACAAGCTGCCTGGAACTTTACAGTTAAGCAATTAGTCACTGTTTTAAGTGTGAAGTAGGGATAAACATCATAGCTTGTCCGTTTAATGCTCTAAACTGAAGGAGGGAAGACATTCTGGTCTCTCTATAATCTTGTGGGGATCTCTGAAAGGGGAGTAGAAATAGAGGATTGGAAAAGGGAAGGGATTTTAATTGGAGAACCAACTGTTTAGCTTCCAGAATCAACTTGATCACTGGTGTTAAAATTCTAAACAGAGAATCATGCTGTCAAATAGTCTCCTAATCGAAAGGTAGAAGTGTGGGGGAATTGTGTAGACTCCATGCTCCCTTAAAAAGGGGGGGGGCAATTAGAAAGAGCTGAAAAGCTAGAGGCTTTGTATGTAGTTTGGTGCTGTCTATGCTGATGTCCCTCCAGCGGTCTAGAGAACAAGAAAGGCCCTTTACAAATAAATAGTAGTAATAAGGGTTCCTCTATTAAACCTGCAATCTGTCTTACTGCCCTCAGTGGAACCTGATGTGTCTTATTTCTTAATACCTTGCCATGGTGCTGATCTACATTTGGCAAGGATGATGAAGAGTTAGGAACTTGCCAAGGCAAGATCCATAACTCTAGCAGGGCCCTCAAGATGTACCCTTGGTCTCAGATGGGGCATGGTAATCCAAAGGAAATAGAGGATTTTTAATGTTGCTTTGTATTATTAAAGAATAACTTTTTACCTGGAGGGTTCTTATTGATAACAAAAAGTGGAACAGGTGTCTTGAACATATTTGTTTCACTACTATCCTCAGAGTAATTAGTCATTTGCTCCTTACCTAATGTTCTACAGTTGAGTGGTGGCTCTTTCATTCTGTTGAGGATTCTCCCTTTTATACAAGAAAAATCCTTAATGTTGAGGTGGGGAAAAGCCATTTGCAGTATAGTCTTTCCTTTGAGATTGGCTGCAGCACCAGTGGTGTTAGCCTAACAACTGTTTGGTAATCTCACCCTTCAGCATGTCTCTCTAAGTCAAGCTTGACAAAAATTAAGAAATCATGTCTCCTGGAAACTGTTTTTCTTTTGAAGATTAAGGTTAAACATTAAGTCAAATCTAGCTGATATCGTTTTAGAACAGTACTGCTGGAATAATTACATGGTCTTTCAGTTCTTTTGCTTCAAGTCATAAGATGATCAGCAACTGAATTCAGGAAGGAATATCCCATATATACTTAATAAATAGGAGTGCTATGGGGTTTTATGCCTTCCTCTGAAACATCTGGTGTTATAGTCAGTATAACAGAGCAGAAGGACAGTAGATACTCAAATATGGTAATTTCTGTGTTCCTGAAGTCTTTAATTTTACAGTTGCTTCATTTATTCTGTCTCTGTTCCCTCCCAAACTCAACCTATAGATCAGAAACCTCATACTCAGCATGCATCATATACATTTCCATGATGGGCTGCAAACACACAACCTTCATCATCACCCCAGACGGTGTCAGAAACTAACCTCAATCCATCAGTTTCACTGTACTCTCCTTGCCTTGCAAGAGGATGTTTCTCTGTCTTGTGAGAGTATCTGTGTGCCTAATCCACCAAAGTTATGGCAATATCAAGACAAATGACTGTGGCAGAAATGTGTTAGTCTTTTGTCAATGCATGTACATTTTTAACAATTGTCTAATTTCAGAGGTTACGTTTTGTATGGCAGTCTGTTTAAGCTAGAAATACTCCTCTACCTGGTTCTGTCTGAAAGTGGGACTCTGTGAAGGCATATTAACGACAGCTCAAACTGGGTTGCTTTCAGTTTTGCTTTTAAATATTTTTAACGCTACTAAGTCACCTTTGTTCCCCTGTGCTTACTGGTCTTTGTAATCAATATATCCAAGCAGAGACTATTGGGAAATGTGAATGTGATCAGTATGTTTCCTTTACACAGATACTGCTCCCACATTGTGTATATGCACAAGCAAGCAAACTATACTGAGCTTTTAATTTCTTAAATAGCCCATCTCTCAGGCTTGATCTAGAGTAAGTTTTGAAGGTGTGCTGTTACATGAGGTTGTATAAAACAACCTAATTAACACCATAAAGACTAGTCAAGACAAAGTGATTGTATTTTAACACATCCTAACCTGGTCAAATCTAAAGTCTAGATCCAATATAGCTTTAAATCCTAGTTCAGACAACTGTGTTTCTGTGGAGCAAATAAATTTTACAGGAAAATTAACTTAGTTTTATACATGTCTCTTTCTGGGATCCACACACATTTTTCTCCGCGTTTATCTTTGGCATGTTTTTGTAACTGTAGTTACTTAGGAACGAAGGATGGGAAATTAACATACTGCTGCATAGTTGTAGTCTCAACTCCTCACCACACAAGCTTGAACAGTGTATGACCCACTGTGTAAATTTTCACTACCGCTCCTTTGTCTGCAAAGCATAGCCAGTGACTCTAGAATACAGATTCATGGAAGAGGAAAAATGGAGAAGTGCAGATACAGGTGAATAGCCTATTTTTCAAAGCAAAATTGCCAGTTGTGTGTGAGTATGTGAGAACAGAGGGAGGAAGTAGCTACACTACTCAGATTAGCTCTATAGCAACAGTGAAGTACTAATCACTATTAGTACTGAACAAAACTTATACTGAATTTTTCAAATGAAGTATTTAAAACTGATTTTTTTAAGAGAAAAAGGCATAAGGAAATATAATTGTTTTTGTTTTTTGTTTGCTTTGTTTTTGTAAATGTAGTATACCAACTAAAGCTCTGCTTTTCTATTGGAAAGAGGCTTCTAGGTATGTCATTTCTTGGTAAGCGTCAATGGTTAATGGATGAGTTTTCACTCATGAAAATAATGTAAATGATTAGCTTTATGTTGATACTCTTGACCTAATCAAAGGGAAGGTGTACTCATAAGGGATGTAATTATTTTGCAATCTAGTGGGGGTGGGGGGGAATCTACTTAAAACAATTTTTAAAAATTATGAAATCACAGATGATATTTTTCTACAATTCTATACAATCATACTTTATACTAGTTTCCTCCGCATGGCATGTAAGTGAGTCTAAGGTACAGTAGCAAAAATTCAACTGTTCCTTTTGGCAGACAATGAAAATAGCATCTTTCAGATGCTTGGCACTGCTGTCGTAGAATTGAAATGCTAGTAAAAAGGTTAAATAGTACTGAATACTTAAATGATTGTTTTATTCAGAGTATGATCTAGGAAATTTTCTAATCATACTATTAATGTGTAATCTAAACTGTTCCAGATGTAACCATGAACAGTCCTAGAAAGGTATCATTGCTTGCATCCCTGTCAAGTGGCAGGTTTTGTAGTCTTTAAAGGAAATTGAAATTTATACAGTGAATAAATTTTCAAACATATGAAAACCAATGTCTGTTTTATTGTGTTGGATTTTTCTCATCTCTCTCTCTCTCTCACACACACACTCTCACACACACACACACCCCCCTCCTGCAGTGTGGTTTCTACCTCAAGTGTAATTAACTTTGTTCCATATAAAACATGCATTCCCAGCCAGAAATGACTTATTAAATTAATTTCTAAACTGAGTTTGTTTTTTCTGAGCTTAATATACAGGTGTTGTTTTCTCACTCAGACATTAAAGCTTTATGCCATTACTTTTTGCATGTTTAATCATCTTGACTTTTATTAGTATAGTCAACAGAGACCTGATGAAAAAAATTAGACCTAGTAGAAGGTCTCAATCACATTTAACTCTATTAAAAACTCTATGTATTTGTGACGTGACCAGACCAAAAGATGCTAATAATTCTAAAATTTGGTGTCACTTAGTCTCTAATCCTGCAACTTCTTGCATGTGGACAAACTGCTGCAAATGTATAGAGCTCCACTGAAGTCACTGGGGCTCTGTGCAGATGAAGTTATCCATCTGTACACAAGCAGCTGAAGGATAGGAGTCATAAATTGTAGACTCCAGAGGGCAGAGACCTGGTCTTTATGTCTGCCATAAAGTGTCATACGTCTGTGTGACTCTTCATGTAAACAAATAATTAGGACTGCTGCATAAGTTTAAAAAAAAAAAACCTCTATTTTGCCACACATTGAAATTAGATACACGTTTGATAAACAAATATCAAGTCTTATTTATTTGCAGTGAGCCTCTTGAAATTCGGAAAGCAAGACAGAAGTTTTGCAAATTAAAATGTACAAATTTAATGAGAAATGTAATAGGAAACATTCCACTGATCTAGTCAAATTCACTCTTTACAAGTGAAAAGGCATTGTGAACTCAAGTTGTGATTCTGAAATTATTGTATCGTAATCCTCTTCAGGCTTGCAACACAGAAAAAACAAGAATTGTTAATCAACACAAAAGATATGAAATGTTTGTATATTATTTTATGTAAAATAGCAGGAATAGCAATTATGATGGCTGATACATCTCCGAACAAAAGTGCATTCTTCAATAGTCCTGTTAAATTCACCAAGAGGAGAAGCCGAATAGGGCATCAAGATATTTCACCAAGCTACCAGAATCAACAGGAAGACAGTTTGCCTTTGCAACAGCGGAGGAAAAATAGTGATTTGGGAGGGTAGGAGAATATTGTATGTAAAATTTAAAAGTGGCAATCTTTAAAAAGTTATCTTGTGTGCATATGAACCCAGTCTGCACCTAACCAACATGAAAAATATAAATTGAATTTTAATTCTCTTTAATTTTCTCCCATTTCTATATTTCTTTAAATCAACATAAAAGCTTAACATTCCTGACAAAACAAAATTCTGACACGCCCTTTGTCACACCCTTAACTATGGCATTGTTACCATTCTATTCTACCTTAATATATCCTGTAATTTTCTAAAAAGATAAGATTTGTGATAGGTCCTGTCTAAATCAAAAAAATGACTTACGTTTAGGGCAAGATTAAGACTTTCCTCAGCATGAGAAAGGAGTGGTGTGTAGTTTCACTGTCCCAAGAGTAGCCCAGGGAAGGAACTGTAATTCTGAAAGGTTTCAATTATGTAAACTGCTTTAGCTTTTAATAACTTTCTTTGTATGTGCCTTTTAAAATACTCTGTCAATGTTCTCCTGCAGCCTCTTGTGACCCTGAGGATGGGGCCCTTTCTTCCCAGGTATGAGGACCACCTATGAATCACCTGACTTGTTTAAATTCCTGAGAAGAGGAAGGGAAGAAAGATTGTAGAACAAATGCAGTAGGAACAATAAAAAGAAATGGAAATACCTGGCTTCCTGTGCTAAAGCTGGTCACAGATATTAAAGAGTAGTACAGGGTATTGTACGTCTGTATTATATAAGCGGTATGGTTTACAATCTTAAATTCCCATGTGTAGCAGCCTTTAGTTTATTTGTATCCTTCTTATATATTCATTTATTACTCAGCTCCATTACATTACATTCTTTGAGACACAGAAAGTGATTGCTTAATTACAGAGTGTAATGTAATAGTAACACATGCAAAAAGGGCAGAGTCAAGGGTATCCATTCAATATCATTCTTGAATGTAATCATGCAGCTTTAATATTCTTAATATAATTCTTTAGATTTTAGTGATAGTTTTTGCCAACAAAGAGAGACAGAAACGATAATCCTAGAAGCAGTTTGTCAAAGATGATAAATCACATTCCTAGGACAGCTAATACATATCAAGAAATAGAGGAAGCAGGACAGGGGCAAACAGATTAAATCCCGGTTGTTAGATTTCTCTGTGCAAGTGTCCTAGGGTTTCATAAAGGCTCTAACACCAAAGCTGTGTCAAAGAAAAAGTGAAAGCAAGGGAATCCAAAACAATTCTTAAAGGTTCTTCATAGTACAGAAAGCATTTGATCTTGGGGAAGCAATTATCTTGGTCCTTGATTAGATATTTATCTTCTGGGCATTTATCACAATGATTTGTATCAGGGAGGAACAAATAAGGTCTTGGTATCTCTAACATGCCATAAATGTTTCTCACCAGATGCTTTTAAACCAATATCGAAGAAAATGAAATGACCCCTTTACTACACTGAATGACCTGAATTCTCACTTATATTAAGATCTCTTTATACCACACTAGCAGTGTAAAGGAGCCTTTCCCTTACAATTTATCTAGTCTATCAATCTACTACCTAAATGGAATGTAATAAATTAGGCCCAATCCTTCAAAGACTTAAACTTGTATGTAACTTAACTCACAGAAATCAAGGGGATTATGCATTTGAAAAAAAGTTAACCTGTACATAATTTTTTGTAGGAACATGGATTTATATTTTAAGCAGAAGGGAAAAGGAAGGCCACTGTTTAGAGCTGTTTCATGGGGTGGATGGGATGGATCTGCTGCCCTTTTTTCCATTTGCCACCCAGGGTCCTTTCCATTTTAGTGTTGGATACTACAGCTCACATAATTTTACTTGAAATATTAGTTTAGGTGGGTTGGTGCTGGGCAGTCATGATTACTGATCACAATGCGGTTAACCCCAGGCATTTAAAAAGTATGTCAGGTTAGGGTTACCATATGTTCAGGTTTTCCCAGACATAACCTCATTTTTGGTCCACCAATCTCCACCTGGGCAAATTTTTAAAATATTAGCAGCTGTCTGGGATTTTTCTTCTGTGGGGGGCTTACAGCTGGAGTCGCAGCCGCTCCATGCAGGGGTTGAGAGCTGGAGTTGTATCCTCCCTGCCACATACCCCTCCAGCTTCCTCCTTCCCCATCCTGCTCCCCTAACAGTGTTCTCTTTTTGGGAACCTGAAATGAGGTTACTCTATGTAAGGACCCTCCCAAAAATAAGATTAGCTGAAAATCATGAGATGGCAACAAACTAATCAATGGTAGATGGCTTGCGCTTGCCTTATGGGTTTTGAGCCTTTTAGGTACATTGCTGGCCTCGCATTTTCCAGCCCAACCAGGAGGGCTCGACCCTTTTCTTTAAGGACAGGGCAGAATCTCACATTACCTTGGGACATTAAGAAAAACAGCAACTAGCGGGACTCGCACAAGAAAATCCTGAGCGCCGGGGACGCTGGACGCTGCCCAGGGGCCTGGGAACGGGCTGGGACGTAAAAGCGGCGCAGCTGTCCCCGCCGCTCGTGTCTGGCTCTGCCGCCCGCACCCTGGCTCCAGCTCCCGTTCCCACACAAGTCGCCCCACGCACGCGCATTTGGGACCGGGCGGGGCTTTTCGCGGTAAGTAATGCGCAGTGAAAGCCGCCGGCGGCCAGGGGGCGCTGGAGCGCGAGCGGGCACGCACGCACGCCCGCCCGCCGCTGAGAGCCGCAGCCTCGGTTGCCTGCTGCGGTCGCTGTCGCAGCCGTGTGAGGGCCTGCCTGTCGCGTGACGCTCCAGTCCCAACGGCCGCCACGAGAGACGAGTCGCTGCTCGTGCGCCGCACGTAGGAACCCTCCGCCCGACCGGGAGCAGCAGCAGCGCGCAGACCCCCCCTTCCCCTCCCCCGCCCGCCCTCGCGCGGTGAGGAGCGGCCGGCGCCATGCCCAAGAATAAAGGTGAGGCCTCCCCGACCGCGCGGGCCCGGGGCCGCCGCGTCGCCTCCCTGAGGCCGGACCCCCTGCCGCACGGGCCGCGCCACCCGGGCCTGGGCCGGAGCGGCGCCGGGAGCCTCTCCTTGCAGGGCAGGCTGGGGGCGGGGGCGGCTCTCGGAGAGGGGCCGCGGGGCTCCCGCGGGGAGCGAGGCCGGAGCTCGCCTCACGTGGGGGGGATCCGGGCAGGGCGGTCACAGCCGTTGCGGCGCGGCCTGTCCTTTCTACCGCGGGCGGGCTCCCGCGTAGCCTCGCCTGGAGCACCGGCCCCTTCCCCATCCCACACCCGGGCGCCAAGGAGCCTGGCCGGGACGCGGGTCCCCGCGCCGCGCAGCCTCTGCCCCGCAGCGACCTCACTGGCTGAGCCGGGGTCGCTCCCGCCGGGCTTGGCTCAGGCCCGGGGCGCGGAGTGTGCGACGGCTCTGGCCGGAAGGGCGTGGGGTGCAGGGTGCTAGGAAGCCGCTTGAGTGGTGAAGAAAAAGACTCGTGTAGAGAGAAGCAGCCTTGGACTCCGGGGGTAAGTTTGTTCCCCCTCCCCTGTATGGCAAAATTCAGCCGGCATTTAAGCGTCAACTGTGCTGTGCCCGGGTCCCTAACAGTCGTATTTGTTTTGATAGCAAATACAGACCTTCACAGGGGCACCAGCAGCCGGCGTTCCCATGTGTTAGAAACCTTAACAGGTGTGGTTAACAGGTGACCCCTCCCCATTTTTTTCCTGTGCTGTCGTGAAAGAGGACAGGAGAGAAAGGAAGCAGGTACTTCTGGGGGCAGGGCTTACAAAAACTGCAAGGTGTTCTTGCTGATTTTTTAACAAGAAAACTAATCCTGTTGCCAGAAGCTTGTTGAAATGCTGCTGTTTAAAAGGAAAGCA